GTGTCTGCTGGGTGGATCTCTGGGGGGAAGCGCATCTTATAGCGTCTCCAAAACTGCTGCTTGGTGTCGCGCAGCTCGGTCTCCCCAAGCATGGTGTCCAAGTCCGACAGTGCAATCTTGGATCGATCCTGCTCCACCTGACGAAGTAGAGTCCCACTGCGGCCCATGCTCTGCGGACTCGAGCCGTCATCAGCAGTGCCTTATCCCCCAGGCCCAGCTTAGCAACCCAGGGCTCAATGGCTTGCTCCGATGCCCAGAGGAAACGAAACTCTTGCAAACTTTCGACGCCCAACCGGAGCAGGGCTGTAATTACCCCATCATCCAACGAGAAGTTGTCACCCAACTTCCTTAGGATTTCCTCTGGGGACCCCTTTTCCAGTGGGACTTTATCAGTCTCCATGGCCTATTCTCGAGGACACCCCTCTAGCTAAGGCCCAGGGATCCCCTCCCTTTGACTGAAAACTGCGCCTCGGGTCTCCCCCGTGCGTTGTGCTGGAACCGCCTGGCGTGGCATGAAATAAATGGACCCTGACATACACTGATGTGAAATCTGGACATGTGTACAACGCACAGCTATGTTGCGACCTCACATGACATCACCTTCATGCCGCCACAGAGCTATGGTACACTAGACTATCTGAGGTCCCCCTCCCAGATGGTCTTGTGCGTTGTCATGAAAAGAAAAACTTGAAAAACACAACGAAAGGACATGAGGGCACGGCACTTGCTCAGTGGGCACCACACTGAAAGTCACCTGGCTCTACTATTTTCCTCTCGCGCATGATGTTACTGCTGGGGGCGGTCATGCAGGCTGGATTGAAGCTCTTATCCAAGCCCCGAGCTGATGAATTCGGCTCTCCATGGCCGGAACGGGCCAGTGCTGCTGATCAGCGCAAAGGCCAAAAATTCGGCTTGGGCATCTTAGGCAGGCGGCCACCATGACGCTGGCGCTCGACGGAGGCACTGGTCACACCAGGGGCGCTCCCATGCCAGAGCTTCAAAGACGTCCGTGGACATGTATGGGTTCACCAGGCGCTTCGCCTTCCCATCGGCCTGCTTGTGCTGGCACAAGGTGATGCCGTCCTCGACCGTGACATGGGTGCTGGACCTCTCCGTAGCTGCATATCCCTGCGGCTTGGGGTGCTGTGTTCCCACCGCGGTGTCCTGGAAGGTCTTGTGCAGCCACTTCCGCATGCCTTGGTCGCGAATGACCTTGTTCAGCTCTGTATCCCTGCGGCTCTCCACGTAGTGGTTGGCATCCTCAATGGACTCGCCGGCCAGTAATGCACGGCAGAGGATGCCTAAGAAAGCACCCCGGTGTCGCCCCTTGATGCAGTGCACCACGACGTTGTCGCCGTGCCAAACAGTGTTCTTGACGGCCGGCCACACGTCTGTCCACTGTTCGTTGCGTTCCTGGCTGTATGCCGCCGCGAAGGTCATCAACTGAGCTCCCGGGAGGGTCACCCCCCCCCGGCTCTCAGGACCATTCGGGAAGCAGCAGATCTGCAACGCTGTCTTTGGGAACTTGCCCACCGTCTGCCTCATTGGAAGTCCTGCCAGGTAGATGCCACCACCCTTCCGGGATGTCCAGATGCAAGTCGGGGCCTGGGCTGTCCCTGAGCCCACACCCAACCGCTCTAAGTGGAGGTCCAAGGTGTCTCCTGCTGCCTTGCCATGGCCTTTCTTTGGCATGGCCTTGATCTGTGGCTTCCCAGGAGCGGCCAAGCGCTTCGGCGTTGTGGTTGTAGCCCTGGCCTTAGCAGCTGTGACCGGTGGCTTAGGTGTAGTGGCTGCAGCCTTCGGAGGTGTCTTGGGGGCTGCAATGGCTGGTGCCTTGGGCGGAGTCTTGGGTGCAGCCTGACCTCGGGCTTTCTTGACAGCTGCGCGCATCACCTCGGCCATCTCGTCGTCAGTGGCACCGCTCGCCGCGGTCCTCTTCCGGCCAAAAGTGGCCTTCTCCCCCACGGCTGCCGGCACCAAGGTGGCCGATGGCTTGGGTGCCGCTGGCACTGCTGTTGCGGCCAACACCGCCCGCTTGATGTTGCAGACGCCTGCACCGTGCTTGCCACCACATGCCCGTCCTGACTTTTGTAGAATGGCACACAAGTGCACTCCGAAGGGGCAGAAGTCTGCCGGATTCGGGCACTCGTCCGTCTGGAACTCCGGGCCAATGGCCTTACCATTCTTCAAAGTGGCCGTCAGCACCTTGCCATTGAGTTGATCAGGCATCTGAGGTGCCGGTGCGGCTACGGCCTCTTGCCGGGCTTGCTGTGCCGCTTCAACAAACTGCTGTGACAACTTGAGCCTCTTCTTCACGTCCTGGAAGCTATGTGCAGAGGCCCAAATAGGCTGGCGGTCTTGTCGCAGCAACCTGTCAGCTTCAGTAAGGCCATGAGCTCGGGCTGCATCTAGCTCTGCCTGCGGGATCGCCTCCCACAGCAGGTTGCTAGCGAGCTTGGCCGTAGCGCCCCAGATCAGGGATTTCACCTTGACTGACGCAGCGTATTTTGCCGAAGAATAGTGAAATGCCATCGCCCCCACCTCTGGTTGCTCACTCTTGTTTTGCCAGTCGCCCAGGGCTGCCATTTCTTCAGGCCTGCATCCTAACAACTGGGCCACCGTGGGTGCAAGCCTCCTCCAGCTGTAGGTGGTCAGATCTTCTGGATTGTCGAGGAACACGGACATTTCCTGTTGCATCGTCTCTTGCACTTCTAGGATCGTCCATGGGCGCCCTTCGTCCGAAAAACAAAGGCCTGCAAGTCTCTGCCTTGCTGGTGCCAGCGTCCTATATGCCTCCAGCACTTCCTTGGCCCAAAAGAAGCCGTTGGCGTATGTGGCCGGCACCGCAAAGTCGAAACCTTCGCGGGCATGCTTTTGTTTTCCCTTAGGGCACCTGCAATGGAGGAATGCAGCGGTGAGGCGCCGAGGTTCTGACCGCGCGATGTGCGCATACCTCAAACAGCCAAACGACATGATCCAAGGAGCCAGAAGAACTGACCACCTCTCATCGCCGACCGCGTGCAACTCCGTGATGCGGTCCTCCAAGGCCTGCACTAATGGCGGCTCCACCACCGGTGCTTGCACACGCTGCCCAGTCGCCCTGGGTGTTGTAGGCACTTGCAAGTTTCCCAGCTCCATGTCTTGGTCGGCATTCTTGTTCATCCATTTCAAGGCTTGGAGTGCTCGTGCTGGCGCCTGGGTGTGGTTGAGGAACTGATCCAGGTCGACCATTCCAGGAGGAGCGGGTCGCCCCCGACTCTCCAAGAAGGCCCTCAGCTCCAACCAGGTGTTGACCACTCGGTCAATGGTCGCCTTCTCTGCGTCCTTCACCTTCTTCTCGGCGATCCTCTTGCACGTTTGTTTCCATTCGGCCTTGAGGGTGTCTGTCAAGATGCCAGCTGGTTTGTATGCGCCCATTCCGACGAACATCGACACCAAGCCGTTCACCCGCTTCTGGACGGCCTCATCCAGGTTCTTGGTGACGTTGACGGCCTTGGGCTTTTTCTTGTAGATTGTCTTGCGCACAGGGCGCAGAGTGACGGAACCCTTAGGGTTGTCCTCCACGACTTTGGCCCCAGCAGCAAGGAGGTGCTCTTCCACCCTTGCTCTTGTCTGCAGCCAGTCATCTGCTACGTGATGGCCAGCTAGTCCAACGACTTGATCTTAGTCGGTGTAGGCATAGGCGAAGTCGTTGTCGTCCAGGAGGCCTTCGTTCTCCCTCCATTGACGCGCACGCTGTGCAGCTATCATCATCAAGGAGTCGGCTACTCTCCATCCCGGTTCAGGGTCACCCCCTGACGAGGACGAAGCTGCCGCTTGAGCTGCATAGTAGCCTTTGCCGCCTGATGCCATGGCGCTGCACCCTAACAAGATTGCTAAGGTGCGGAGAGCAAAAAGATGCTGCGGTGACTTCAGAGGTGCCTCCTCTGTCATAAAATCAACCTGCAGCAAACATCTTCTTACGTCCTCCACAAGTGCTGCATGGCTCACGCCAGGTGAAGCAGTCACTACACATCCCGACGCAGCATGCCCAGCACACGCGCCTGGTGGGATCTCCGCACTCTGTGCAGGCGGTGCCCAGCTGGAGCATGCCTGCATCCTGGCATTCCAGCCAACCACATAGCGCTCGATGTGCCCTGGCGCCTTCTCGCCCCCAGGACACCCAGGGTCGCCCCCTAGGTGCTCTGGGGAAATGCCGCGGCTCGAGGAAGACCGGTAGGAGCTCGTGAGGGCCTGTGCATCTGAGCCAGCTCCTCCATTGATCGAACAGCTCCCCCAAGCCCAGTTGCCCAGCGTCGCCCGCTGAGCACCTGAGCTGCAACCCGTAGAGATCCTGGGGCACGATGTCAGCGGCCACTTTGTGCTTCGTATAGGCAGCGACCAGCAGCAGGTCCATGGGGTCCTGGTGCTGGTAGTAGTACGCCCAAGCATCCGCGGGCGCCACATCATCGGGCAGCACAACGCCACGGCTGTTCCACAAGCCGAGCCACGGGAACTTGAACCCCCCCACATGAGCTGCGCAACGCTGGCAGTCATCAAGGCAACAGGGTAGCTTCGGCAGGGGGGGGAAAGCTCTGAATCTGTCCCAGTCGTGATGACGTAGGGGGAATGCAACACTTCAATGCCATGCATCCAGCATGTGTATGCTGCAGCATCAGAGCCCTCCCGCGCCAGCCTTTCCACGTGGCTCTTGAACTCCAGGAAAGCAGCAGCATGAAGGATCTTCGCCTCAGTGGCTGCCGGGATATCGATTCCTGGGAGTTTGCGCTGCATACAAGGTCGCCCCTTGTATATAATTTGAACCACCCAATCAAGGTCTGGAAAGGTCACCCCTTACCAAGACCAAGAAAGAAAACAGCAATGAATGCTATTTTGGTTCAAGTTTACTTGAGCCAAAATGGTAGCATTCATTGAAACACTTAAAGATGATACATGCACACCCAAGCCTGCCAAACTCAATGCATGGGTATATATTTATATATGCCCTTGATGAACTGCACGCCTTCCAGCAGTCATGCTCAAGCGCATGAAAACCCACCACACATCACCTGACCAGCCAGCATCGGCATCTCCCCTGGCTAGTCCCATCTCCTGTGTCAACAGTTTCAGAGCCGTCAAATTGTTGGTGCTAAACCTCGCGAAATGAGCCACCACGATGGGGAAGACCAGGGCAAAGCGGCATCCATCGATGCAGTCGATACCTCAGGACGTTGGTTTTGGTTCCTGGGGACGTTGGTACAAATTCGTGGGCCTTGATGCCCCTGATCTGATGCAATGAGTTTAAAAAATCGTTCCGGAACAAAAATGAATAAAAATGAATGATCTTTTTGTGCGACATGTTGCGACAATTGCTTTGGTTTGTCTCTCTCTCCAGTGGTTTGGTTTGTACATGTTTTGTTTTCTACCACCAAATATACACCTGCTGTACATGAATGTTTCTATCAATGCACATGCGTTGATATGAGCCGCGGTCAAAACTCTACGTGTTTGATCCCTTTTTCCTATTACTCAAATTTTTCCAAGTACCAAAATACCCAAATTGTTTGTTTTGGGAAAATTCGAATTGGTCAACTTGATTCTTGTTTGGCCTCCTTTAGGAAGCAATTTAAAAATCAAGGTCCCATTTGAAGGTTCCACCCCGGAATAAAATCTAGTTAACCCCAGGGTGTTTTTAATTAGGGCCCGTCTTTCAAGATTCAAAAGTTTTGAATTTGAAATTAAGGTTGCCAATGTAATATTAGGTGGAAGTTTCGAAATCCAATTTTTGGCAATATTTTGTTTTAAAAAAGAATTTGATCGATTTTGAAACTGACAATTTTAGTTTGTTAGTTAAAGTTTTCCGTAATTATTAAGGGAAAGCTTGGAAATCCAAGTTTGGCAATATCTGAATCAGATTTTAGAATCTTGATCGATGTTGAAATCGAAGAACTGGTTGTTTATTTAAACTAACGTTTTTTGATATTAGGTGCAAGCTGCTGCCCGGAACACTAAATACACCCTAATAGTAAAAACAAACCCTAGGACCCTGGGATTTACCATTTAGAGGAGGGGGGGGGCGCTTAATAGTAGTGAGAAAAAATTACATGATTTTTGCCTCGCTGAAAAACAGGGTATCTTTTTCTAGGGGGCCCTATCGTGAACCATTGTTTTGTACTTATGTGTAAGGAAAGGAAGAGTAACAATTTAATTGATCTTCCGCCTGTGGAACCCATTCATGATGTCCACAGCGGGGGCCGAAGACCCAAAGGTAGGCAAGTTTTTTTGACAATTATCCTGTTGATATCTGTGGAAAAAGGTGCGTGAACGCAAAAAAGTGCTTTCATTAGGATGACTGACTCTTGGCCATCCAAGGCGTTCTGGCCGTGGCCGCCTTGGGAGCTTTGCCTGCAAACGATCTGGCTCTAGTGTCAAGTTCGACCGGGCCTAAGGATCCCAGTCGCTGGCATGAATGGGAAGGTTTTTGCGTGCAAGTTCATACCGCATGCGCCTGAGAACAGCACTGGCATTGGATGATTCCCTTCGCCACACAAGTCCCCAATGGTCCCGGATCAACTCTCAGGATTCAGGAAAGTCGCATGTTGCATTTTTGATGTCGAGCGCGTTGGAAATCAAACCACGAAAAGGTTGGACATGGGGATTTTTCAACCCGCGGAAACACTGGCGGGACGACTGTTGAAGTTTCATTTTCCACTGAGAGATTCGCGTCTGCCGGTGGGAACCCCGTTCCTTTTTTCAACTGGCATTGGACATTCTAAATGTTTTGACTTGATGATAAATTCGTATCATACTGAGGACTATTAACTATTTTAGTCAAAAAAGGAATAAAAAAATGCATTTCTGCTCGAAACAACCTTGACGACCGTGGGTCTCAAAATTTTGGCATTCGCATAGCTTGGCTAACAAATTTCGCAAATGGCGAATACGAAATGTGTCAGTGGCATGGTCGAGCTTGCCTTGGACAGTAGGGAGGCCTTTAGAAAACTTTATGCAACCGTTTTTGTGGCTGGGTTTGGTTCTGGCGTCGTGCAGTGGGTTAGCTCCGGCGGTGTTGAGTTTGCAGACAAAAACTCGCAACAGGCCGATTGACAATCTTCAAATGAACAGGACTCGGGCTTGGACAAGTCGCCATGTCTCGCGAGACGAAACAACGGAGCCAGCCTAGGCTGGCTCGGCAGCTGAAAACTACAGCAAAAAGTTTTATGGTCTGAAATGGCTTCAATGTCATAGCGCACGTGCTGTACATGGTGCACGGCGTTTGTGACTGCGTAGTCGCTGCATCTGTTGCTCGACCATCTGGACGAAACAGCGTCGCCTTGTGCGCCTTCGACAAAACAACACTGCAATCATGCAATCCGATTGCTTCATCTTCGAAAAGCAAAACATTTTCATCAGGGCTATCACAAAGTCCCCAACGCAGATCCATGGTGTGCCAGGTGGCAGGAGCTGCAAGATTTCGAATATGTGGCATGCTGCAGGCAGTCTGCCTTCTTGCGGGGGTTGATACAAATTAGAAATGGCATGAAATGGCAATATGTTCAACCATGACAGTGACAACTTGGCCTTCATCTTCACTAAGTTGATTAATCAAGTGGCATCGTAAGTTGCCTTTTACCAAAATAATTACCTCCCCGTGCGTTCTTGTGGCGGATCCGGCTGGGCCCGTCAAACGTGCGGTAGTGATGCTTATTGACATGTCGATGAAATGATCTCTTTCACCAGGTTTCAGACCATCTTCTCGGATGGCAAGAATTGGAATGCCTTTTGCTCTGGCATGTTCGAAAAATTCCATGGCACCCGTGCCACGGCCACAGTTGCACGACCGCAACTGAACGGCAGGTCCGGGGTGGGGATGAACGTCCCCGTGGGCAGTTAAATCTGCATGCCAACAGGCCGGCAACAGCCCTGCGGATTTGCACCGGCCGGTGCTTCCCGCTTTGAGTTTCAACGATTGGCTTTGGCAAAAATGGCAATGATCTGATCAAAGGTTCTTCCAACAGCTTTGGCGAGGTTGGCGGCATGTTGAGGCTGCTTGGTTTGCAGTCGCTGCCACCAAGCTGTTTTGATGCCGCAGTAGCGGTCCTCCTTCTTTGCTTGTTTCTTAAGGTGTTGTCGGCATGTGAGATCCCAATTGTGATTACTGTTGCCCTTCTCAGGCACTTGGAACACTAGTAATAATTTCCACTCTGTGTTTGATTAATCAGTGGGTTTCACCTGAACTGGTGTGTGTCCACGAACTTTCTTTTTTCGCATGACAGCAAGTTTTTGGGTCTGGAGTCTGGCAACTTCCATTTCTTTGGACATTGGTTCTTTTCCGATTCCACAGGCTCATCGGAGTTTCACCTTTGTGGCAATCTGCAATACGCTTCTGAATTGCTTTGATTTTATCGCGCTTCGACAAGCTTGGCAGTCGGGCTGGGCACAATGGGCATGACCATGCAGTTTAGTCTTCTGGCAAGTCGTATGAAATTGCAACGACAGTAGGAGCCGATCGACGGATATCGGACATGGGAAATTCCGGGTGTTTGGTTTTCCCATAGAAGAGAGGGCTTCCCATGACACTGCCATAGGTGCCTGCGAAGCAAGCATCACACTCAGGACATTTCCAACTGTGCTGACGTTGCTAGTACTCTCTGATTTGTTCTTTTCGAGATTTCATCGGAGCTTTGGCAACTTTCTTCTTCAGGACACTCTTAGCAGAGCAACTCGCTTTGGCATGGGCTTCGGCTGGGCCACGCCACGAGCGGGCGATGCAGGACCTGAACTGGGCGGGGGCCAGCTTTTGTAAGACTTGGCAATTGATTTAGCTTTGGGGCTGGCTGTGGATGATTGAGGCAGCCAGCTGCGATACGATTTGGCGAGCCACGAGGGTGGCGGCAACCAACTTCGGTAAGTGCCTCCACCTCTGGCACTCTGGCGCTGCCAGCGTCCCGCTTGGAGTCAGATGGGCAATAGTGCCAGGACATGAGAAATGGAGCCAGTCCTGGTTTCAATGTTCTACCGCGTGCATCTTCCAAGAACAACGGCAATGGAGGATATTTGGTGGCATCATCCACATTTTGTTCATGGGATGGCAAAGGAGTGATCACGGTCTGCTTGCCCCATTGGTCATTTTCCCACTTCCAAATGGCAATGTTACGACGCAACTTGGTGGCAGCAGTGGAAAGACATGGGCCGTCAATCCACCTGTTTGGGCGGGCAGTGGCTTCCACCCATTAGAATAAGTGGTTGGTATTGGTCCGCCTTCGAGTTCAACAGTCCATCAAAAAATTCTTCAAAGTGGTGCTTGGAAATGTGCGAGGTGATCTGAGCTCGCAAAGTGGCGCCGATGGGTTTGGCGGCTTTGAGAGCATCTTCGACACTTCTGGCATCTTGGAGCACATAAGCAACAGCAAGGGCACGGTAACCACAGTCACCGTTTCCTCCGGCATCACCACCTAATAATGGTTGGGAGGGCTGAGATTTTACCGTGTTAGGGAACTATTAATTAAAAGACGAGGCTTGGATACATAAACTTAATAGTCCCCTAATAAGGATGGAAATCACATTAATAGCACCCTATTAAGTGTTTGTATGATTTGGGATAACAAAACCGGGGCTTTTTTTGATGCGGGCTGGACCAGGTGCCTAATAAGGAATTCGATACAAAATTACGCGTAATGACCTTACTTGCGCCTTATTTTTAAGCTACTATTAGTCTATTATAAGTAAGCTAATAATATACCATTAAGGAGGTCATACAAAGATGATTTTTCCGTATTAGTATAATTACTAATAATATATCATTAGTATACTAATAAGGATTCCAGAAATGGTCAAATCCTCAAATATTTTGTCAGGGGGTACGGGAGAGGGTAGTGTAAAAGTTCTTGCATTCAAATCCTTGAAAATGGGTTTCAGAGTTGCCATGTCCGGATTGCACGTTTCTTCTCAGGAGAACTGCCTTGCGGTGCAGTTCTTTTGATTTCAGCCCCAGCAGCAGCTGACGCGGTCTCGCCAGACGGTGCTTCGGGCATTGATTCCTCATTTTGAGTGGATGCGGCAATAACTACCGTTTCTTTTGGTTTAGAGACTCCCTTGTCACCATTCAAGCTGTGCCAAAAGTTTGCGTGACCCATTGACTTGCCTGCAGCTTTGATCGGCGTTTGCTGGGGAGTTTTGACATGGTGGAAGAACTGGGAGAATCTCCCCATTGGCATTTTCATAGGCAAAACAAAATGATTTTGTCGAATGTTTCGCCCGGAACAACAAGCCGCGTGCTTTGTAAGCCGAGAGGTCGGCACGCCAGTCGACCACTGGCTGGGAACGCCGCGGGCTTCCCCTACATTGGCTTTTCTGGTGCTTGTTGACACAGTACCTTCGGGCATACGGAGCCCCAAGTGGCTGCGTCCTTGACGACGGTATGTGAGTATGTGCATCAGAAGTCACTCGTGCAAAGTAATCCATGTCATCTTCGTCCTTCTCTTGAGGGATCCATTCGATGACGTCACTTGGCCGAGTCTGAGCAAGATGTTCAATGAAGAAGACTCCATGTTTTCCAGAAATCTTCAGGATACTTTCAAGATTGCCGGTGTCAATCTTCAAGAAGCCGGTGACAGCTTCGGCATATCCCGTCCACTGCTGACTTTGCAAAGTGCGCCATTCATAGCTGGTGATGAAACTGTTTTGGAGATCATATAATCACGCAGCATTCCAGAAATGACATTGCTCGGCGCATCGGTGTGCTCCCCGTCACGCGTAAATTTCGCGCACTGCTTGCTTCTCTCGTCTTGACCAGTAAAGCGTCCTGGGGCTGGGTTCTCAATGGCCTCTCTCCCAGTAATGTCATGCTGGATCGGGCGTACAAAGTCGCTGTTCATCATCCTTACACCCACCTGCACTCGTCCACTGATCTCCGTAAGTTCTTTCTGTGGGGTCATCGGTCTGACTTGCAGTTCGTTGTCGCTCAAAACTTACTGGTGGCTCTGACCAAATGGCGGTCAAAACACCACAATGTCCCCTGGAATGACAACACCCCTCTGATCAAGTCTCTGCGTACCACCTTGTCCAAACTCCTCTGTCGGTTTGATAATTCGGGTCGGGTCACTTGGTCCTTGGGGTCGTGGGATACGTCTTGTCCCCCTTTGTGGTGCACTCGTCTTGCACACAATCTTCGCACGCATTGGCGAATGCTGCGTCTCGAGAATTGGCTCAAATGTTCTCGCAATGATGCGCAGGTGGCACGACAGTCTGGTCTCGTTGTTACCTCTTCTCTCGTCGAATCTATCCATCAGTCTTCTCAGCACGTCACGGGTCATGAATCTGCTGTCTTGTCTGGTGGTTTGCGTACTGCGGCTCACGCTGCCAAAAAACCTACCCATTGCGCGCTGTGTCACAATGAGGTCTGCCCAACCACCGATCACATCTATTGGTTCTGTTCCCATTTCCAGCATCTTCGTCAGTGGCCCCGTCCCATTAATGATATGATTGCTAGGGTCGGTTGGAACACCAATGGTATCCAATATCCTATTGTCCAACAAATGGCACGTATCAGACAGGCGTTAGCTATTATCACCAAAAGAAATACCAACCAATCTAATGTGGATGAGGGGGGGGCGGAGGGGGGGGCGGGGACCCCCTGAGGACTTCGGTTGCCCTTCGCTGTCGCGTCCCCGAGCTAGGGAGCGACTTCAAATGCGGCATTCCAGAAATGACGTTCGCAGGTTTGCTTTGACAATTGCGCCAGCTGTGGCGACAAAAACAGAAGGGAATTGTGACCCTCAACGTTACGGCATGTATCGGTGTCTCTGGGAGTGCCGCAGCAGACACTTGGCATGTTGGGAATGTGGGGAGATCATGCCCAAGAGGAACGACAGGATATTTCTTGATTTCCGGTCCGTGACCCTTTTGATGTACGTGTACTCATTTTTTCTCGAAACTGTCAGGGCAAGCGCCCGAGAGTAAAATGGCGGCGACTTTGATATCAGCAAGTTCATGTGCTTGAACCAGCATTTTGAGTTCGGTGGCTTGTTCATACATCATTGCCACTAGACTGGCTGTTGGTCTGTGACCGTTTTCGAGAGTTTGCCGGATCTGGCTGACAGCGGCAATTGATGCAGGATCTTGCCATCAGTGGCAAGTTGGACCAGCTGAGTCAGAGATTGCAACAAGTTCCGAGGGTTTTGCTGTGCACGCGTCACCGTTTTCTGCAGAGCATCGAAGAGTGTGTCAGATGTCTTGGATTTCTGAGGTGATCATTTTGCATTTGGTTCAGCAATTTTTTCAAGTAACTCTTTCAGTCCATTCAAAAGTTCTTTTTGGTTCCTTTTGCGTTTTGTGACATGCGCACCTCCACATAGCTTGCAGGCTGTGGATATACGCATTAGCATTGTTCACAGGGTTTTGATACTTCATATACTTCTCAAGGCCAACGGCATGGCACATTCTGTGAGGGCCCCAGGACATACGCCTGCACTGGCGACGTCTTTGGCGCCGAATTTTTCGGCACATCAACATCATTCGTCGCTTGGCAAGGGATTGTTTGGACAAATACCAGGAGACAAAATGCCCGGCCCAAATCCGGCAATGCACAGGACACGCATAGGTGCAAGACTGGGTAAGCAAAGGTCAAAAGTGACACGGTCGAACCGATCAGGCATTGGCGGGCGAATGTGAGGCAAATGAGGGCACAACTCATCAGCTCGCAAAAAAGCAGACTCACAGTGAAACAAGTAGCGCATCCCGCTAATGGGATGATAGCAGGACAGCAGCACAAGCAACGCATCAAAGCGTGTACGCAAAACCCAATGCAGGCACACAAGAGGCGAAACGAGTTTACGGCGGTCATGGCAATTGTATGCAGCACACAGTGCGGGGATTGGTAGTGCAACGATTGCACTAAAGGTCAAGAACAATCCAAGTAGGCTTTGCTGAAATGAACTATCAAGACTTGTCACAGCTGGATTCATTGCAATGCTGTCGGTTGCATCTGCTAATCCAAACACCAAAAAAATCAAGCAAATTGCTAGTGCTCTGTTGCATCTGTTGCAAGACATGCCTGACCTCGCCTCGCGCCACTGCGAGGTCCGTATCCACCATGAGGAGGTAGATCAGGTTGCGGATACAGGAAAGAAAGAGGAAAGAAAGAGGAAGGAAGAGGAAGCAGCGCCTCTCATTCCGGAAGAGGAAAGAAAGAGGAAAGAAAGAGGAAAGAAAGAGGAAAGAAAGAGGAAAGAAAGAGGAAAGAAAGAGGAAAGAAAGAGGAAAGAAAGAGGAAAGAAAGAGGAAAGAAAGAGGAAAGAAAGAGGAAGGAAAGAGGAAGGAAAGAGGAAGGAAGAGGAAGCACAGCGCCTCTCATTCCGGAAGAGGAATGGAAGAGGAAAAGGAAAGAGGAAAGGGTTATCTCTTGTCTGGGGCTACTTTTTGAACGGGTATCGCTGAGGCATCGCTAGGTGTATTGCTAATTTCGCGTATTGCATGTACGCAATTGTGTGTTAATCAGCTTCAGATGTGGACATCATATGCACAATGATATGTCGCTTTTTGGGGAAGGCCCTATCGCTACACAGTGTTTAGTGAGCATTCCCTACTAAAATGGTCTATCAGAGTTTTGACCGTACCTCATGCGCACTATCATAGACATGAATTTGCTTCCGATCTCAAGATGCCTCAGGAAAGCATGCCTGGCTTGTCCATGCCAGCATCTCAATTTCTGGGTTCTGTCCAAATGTCTACGATCATGTTACAGTAGAATATGTTACAAGTAGATTTATTTAGATTCCTATTTTTGTGAATCAAATCCTCAAGCGTGCAAGCATCCCCAGTTTCACAACCTCTTTTCTCAGTCATCACCCCCAAAAAAACATGTTGCGGTCTCCAACCAATTCAGACATATTCAGACCAAAAATGTGGCGCCCCAACCCCTATCAATTGCCATGAAATCCCCCAAAAATGGGGTGAATCCGTGACTGGCGCATCCCAGGGGCGCGGCTTGGAGGCCTTCGGTTTCGCCAGCTCCTTGGACTCAACGGGTTTCGGTGCCGCCTTGGCGTCTGGATCCACGGTCTGCACCATTGGCCTGGGATTGGGCCCAGGGTTGCAACATGTTGAGATTGTAAATAGATATTTGCTATTCAATGATAATTACTAGTTATATCTAATTCTGATTAATGACAGCGATGTGAAACCAGCCACAGGATAAGATCGCCAAAAATGTCCTGGAACAATTTTGGTTGAATATTGCTTGTTGGTCCAATATGTTTATGCTTGAGTATCTGTCGGCAGCCTCCCCTGAGACGCCATGTTAATGCCATTGTCTTCAGCTCATGTTTGGTACAGCTCCAAAATAGACAATTCAGTGGAGAGAAAGCAATATGCAAGGCACGACTTTAGAGTACTTTAGAGTCTCTAGATGTACTCCAGCGCTAGAATGTTCGGCAGCTCCTGGCTGGTTCCAAATCTCACCCTACAGTATGTCGTGTCACATACATAAACCCGCCCGTGCTCCAATGTTGATCATCATGCTCATTCATGTTTGCCATTACAGTATCAGTATTGGTGGCATTGGTCTGTGTGTGTAATCCTCATTTAATGGGGATATTGTACTCCATCATGTTGAATTATTTTCTCCATGAAAATGTTCATTTGGGGTACACCCCAACTTTCTGACCAACTGCCTCCTGCGTCCAAACCCACAGTGCGTAGAACGGTGGGTGCGACTTGAGACTTGCGGAGTGCTGCGGGAAAGGAACTTTCAATGACGGCCATGTGTCAAAATGGAGCACCCCAACATGCCACAAAAACTTGGTGCTTCATGTTTCTTCCCGTTCATACTCATGTAACCCAATCCCGTGGAATTTGGCATCGCTTCTGTGCTCAATGTCGCGCTGCTGCAAGCTTTGGCGCTTGTTTTGGTGCTTACCAAAAGGAGGCCCGGCAAGGGTGCCAACTTCTTGCCATAGTCACGTTGAGCATAGTGCCAGGGCTGTTTGCATGATTCAGCACCATTGGCACAGCAGCTTGGTGAGTTTAATTAAATGGATTTCAAGGAAAGAATGACATCTAGGCCGGACAGTGTCTCCGGCAGCTTTCAGAATTCAATCAAGTTGGTTTCCTCAAACCAAAGTTCAGAAATTTAATGCTTGAAGTATTGAAATACCCCGCGCACCAGTAGTGCTTGCAGGAGCGTCAACACAACCCTTCCTGGGTCGGTTGTTCCTCTTTGCACAATTCATAGAGAGCTTTGTCAGGCTGGTCTTTGGAACTGTTAGCAGTTGACAGCTCAACGATCCCTGAGCATACCCTCAGTCCAACCTGCCAGCTTCTGGGCGATCTTGCCGGCAAAGGCACCCACCTTCTTGTTCTTCACGAAGTGTTCGTTCACCAGGTGGCTGAGACCCAAGCAAATCGCCAAATAGAAGGGGAAGAAGGCATGTGGCATTGGCTTTCCCCACAGCTTCTTGGCAATAGCCTTCTTGTAGAAGATTTGTCCGATTGGTCCGTGCACGATGAACATTGGGAAAGCTAAGGAACCAAGAGTGGCCATGATCTTGCATCCGAAGAATCTGGTGATGGCGGAAGGTTGGGCAGTCAACGCATCTCGGTGCATGGCCGTCAAGAACTCCGTGAAAAGTGGCACAAAGAGCACTCCACGGATGATGGCATCGTTGAAGTCATACTTCGTGAGACGAAGTGCCAATGAGGAATAGGCAGCCAAGAACAACCAAATTGGATTCATGGGCTTGTTCCTCTTGTCCTCCTCAGTGTCAAGCATCACATGACGAGCCGCAATGATGCCAGTGGTCATCTCAAAGAGTGCCCAGATTGGGTGGAAACGAGTCAAGTTCCAGATCAAGGGCATCATGACCTTCCCGTCCACTGGGTGTTCCTTGCTGCTGTGGAAGCGTGCTGTCTCAGAGTAGGAGACCTTCTGCAGCAGCGACACACCCCACAGGCCAGCCAAGAGCTTCTGCAAACCCTTCCTGCCATGGCAGCTGATGCACTTTGATGCAGTTGAACTGTTGAACTAAGAAACCTGTTAAATGAAACTAAAGGCCTGTTCTCTGCACACTCCACACACAACTCCCCAGCTCATTGATTCCAAGACCCGGGACAAGAAATGACAAGAACCCAGAACACCTACGAGCCCAAATTCAGCCAAGATTCTTGGAGAGGTTGGCCACGTTTGGCAAGACCAAAGTGGGCATAGTGAGATTCGAAAAGGTCAGGGCCGAAAGGAACCAGGTGGGCTGATTCCAGATCTCTGCTTCCTTGGGGAACCAGGCCTGCAACATGCTGAAGTTCAAGAAGGCGCGGAAGGCCTCGCCAGATCAATCTTCATGGTGGACAAGGTCAAGAAATCCGCAACAACCGGTCGCCAAGTGGCCAGGTTGAATCCGGAAATGCCTTTGATATCCTTTCAGCATGCGTTCCAGAATGTGTCAAAACAGAAGATCAGACCATGGCGATGAAGGAGGGGGAGGAGAATCAGGAGGATGAGCAGGATCACGAGGATCATGAGGATCATCCTCTTCTTCATCATCTTCATCATCGTCACCGTTATCATCGTCAGCGCCATCGCCATCGTCATCGTCATCGTCATGATGATGATGATGATGATGATGATGATGGATGGTGATGGATGATGATGAATGATGATGAATGATGATGAATGATGATGAATGATGATGAATGATGATGAATGATGATGAATGATGATGAATGATGATGAATGATGATGGATGATGATGGATGATGATGGATGATGATGGATGATGATGGATGATGATGGATGATGATGATGATGATGATGATGATGATGATGATGATGATGATGATGATGATGATGATGATGATGATGAAAAGGTTGCATAGCAGGAGGAGGAGGATGAGGATGAGAAGGATGGCAACGCTATGTATCTGTCCTGCTATCAGGAGTACCACTGCTTCCTTTGCAGTGCTGGAGCTTCTACTACTTGATCCCTGGCCCCTACATCTCGTCCTGAGTCTGTTGGACTAGTGTCACTAGTGCCACCGCTAGCCCCACGGCGACTGCTTGCACCTACCGCTAAATGTGAAAGCTGAAAATATGTGTATTACAGAGAGCATCAACACATCCCAAAAACTAAACATCCTCCTGCACTTGTTTTGTTGCGTCAAGCTGCAATCATGTTCCAGGTCGCGTTGAAGTTCCTCTCCACCCAAATGAACATCGGCGCAAAAATTGCTGAGGAAAGGAAATGAAGCGGATAGTAGGCCATCACCTTGGGCAAAACCACTGAATGAAAGTTGTCTGAATCAGGGTGTGCCTGGGTGCATGTGTCCTCAACATCCTGGATATTGAAGTGCCCGCGCACAAGCAAAAGTAAGTAATTAGCAATATATTGGATCAAGTAATTTGTAACCATTGGTGCCATTTTTGCAAGCAAAGAATTGGCAAGGAAAGCTGGCTGGTGGCTTTAACCATCCCAAAAATATTGTCAATCTGGGTTAACTCATCATGGGCGGAGATGGAAAATACCATTCAATAGAGATTTAATTTAAAAAAATTAGAACCGCCACCTAGCCCCCAGTAAACCCCAGTAAATCCCAGCAATTCTGTTTCCGTCTTTGTCCCACTGTTGCAGTTGTACTCACCAGTATCTTTGGCTTTCGCCAAGATAAGTGGGGAGATCCACCAGCTATGATAACAAGTGACCCTCTGCCAAAAGAAAAGCTCTGGATTCGCCACTTTCTTCTCTTCCACGCCAAGGGCCCCAAGCTTGGTCGTGGTATAGGCGGAGACCTCAGCATTCAAGAATATTCAAGACCATAGTTAATGGGAGGATATGGGAGTATCATATCTTTTTTGGGAGTAATGGGACTTCAATGGGAAGGTTGCGCCTGAATATAATATATTGAGGGGGACTTACCACGCACCATGGACAAATCAAAGCCAAGCCCCAAATTCTCACTACCCCGACCGGGAATGCTGGCGGCTAGCGATGATTTGGCACAGCCTAAACAGCATGGCTAAGATTCTTCATGCCACCTGGACATTTGAAGAGAAACCATCCAAGGAAACCTAACGCGGCCAACCCAGTAACCACAGTAAAACAATGTGCAAGATCTGAAATGGGTGGCGTAAGTCAAAGGGGAGATACATTGCTCAACACCAAAGCTCAAGCCCAGGGGCATAACCTGAAATGACGAAGAAGCCACCAACCAGGACATTCTCCTGCAAAGTGTCTAACATGTATATAATGTTATTTTCCCGTGAACCTATGTGGGGTCATCTTGGCAATGTGGATCAGTAGGAGGCCCAACCATGTTCGACTCTATAAAATTATGTTACAATGTGATTTTGTCACATTGAGTTGTGCTCCTGTGCTCCTTAGTTCATGGCAGGCTCTCTCGCTTGGTGCGTATGTTACAATTTAACAAATTGTCTCAAACAGTTCTGCTTCCGCGCAAAAACAGCAGCCTTCTCTTTTTTCATCTTTTTCCGAAAGTTCCACCAAATCCCGATCGAACTGCCCTACCTTACCTTGCATCGCCTTTGAATTCTGACCACATTTGACCAGCCAGCACCGGCATCTCCCCTGGCTGCTAGCCCCATCTCCTGTGTCAACAGTTTCAGAGCCGTCAAATTGTTGGTGCTAAACCTCGCGAAGTGCGCCACCACGATGGGGAAGACCAGGGCGAAGCGGCATCCATCGATGCAGTCGATACCTTGGTGCGGCATGGTGCGGTGCTGTTGGTGCAGATGAAATGTGGGGCCAAGATGGGCTAAACATGGCCAAACATTAAACATGTAACATACCTAGCATGATGCTGAACCAACCCTCAGGTGTGGATCACGTGTCCAAGAGGCGTGGCTTGGAGGCCTTCGGCTTCGCCAGCTCCTTGGATTCCACCGGCTTTGCTGCGTTCTTGGCATCCGGGGAGATCTTTTGATCCGTGGCGCTCATAGTCTCTACACCACTCCTCTACCTGGTGAGTGCATGTAAGTGCCAGTGTCAGGCGTAAAGCTGAGGTGGATGACATATCATGAAATATGATGAGATGATGATGATTTCCTGGAAATGCCATATCATCTCTCCAAGGCATGCAGCTTGTCACTTGGTTGATTTATTGCCTATGGCTGTGTCTCAGCAAGCTCATGCTCATACACTGCTACAGCAGTTGCGTGATACTACCTTCCATTCAAATTGAAGCGGCACTGCAAGCCATGTCAAGGATGGTTCTAGCATCCAGGGTTAGAGCAATGTAGTCACTCTTTCCCGCCACCCAGCCGGCCTATGCTCGTCTCTGAATTGACTGGCGCTAAAATTTGAGCCAAATCGACCACACCACCAGCAGCCGACTTTGATTGCTTGCGGGGAGGTTTTGAAAGGGGACGAATCACTGGTCCCGCAGTTCCTGCATCTTAGAACTGAACATTTCATCCAAAACCTACTACTGTATCATCTGGATATGGCTGATGTTTTTTTACCACTACACTTGGTCACCTGGTAAGTTAATCCTGGGAATTGCCGACTTCGTGGGCCCATGGCTGTGCAATGTTTGAGCCCAGGGCCATTCTTTCTCCGCGCAGCTTTTGCTGCTGAAGACCAGGGAGCCGACCTCGGGGACAGGCTTTGCCGGGATGGATCCGAAATGGTCAAAACGCTCAATGGTCAAATTTCATCAGATCTCAGTCCCCCTTTATCCAACCAATTTAACAATTACATTAAATGATATTATCATTATACGGCTACAGTATAGAGATTTAGTATACATATTACACTGTATATATATATATTATGTTATATTATACTATATTATTTTATATTATCTTATAATATAATATATTAGTTATCTTATATTATATTATATCATACTGTATATGTTATTTCACCGTTTTGCGGGGCACCCGGGGTAGCTTCCCATTTCGGCCAATATTTTGCCCATGTGTTGAGGGCATCACCACCGAATACCACCGACCCCGGGCACCCTGACCCTGCCACGGTCTGCCATCGCCAAAACGGTGGCGCCTGGCGCCTGGTGGCCTGCAGCAAACGGCTGGTGGGAGAATAGCATGGAGAATCTACATATATACATTATATTTATATATATATATAGTGTATACATATATATGGGGGTGTCCTAAAAAAAAATAAAATGCTGGTACCCCAAAACCATTGGTTTCAATGCTAAAATGGTCTAATGACTTGGATGATTTGGGGGTACCCCGATTTTTGGAAACTCTTAGATCGTGCGTGTGAAATGTCTATAAAGCAAGTTTCAAATTCCGAACTGGTATCTAAAATGGTTCTCAATCTTAAATGATTGCTGAAAAGCAACCACCCAAAGAAAACATGTTTACATACCCAGAATCTGCCACAAAAGAAGAGTGGTAAGAAAATCACCAAGAAAACAAAACATCTAAACATGAGAAGGATGAGACCTACCCTCCAGCTCTATCTAGGGTTGGTTTAGGGTTCATTTAGGGTGTGTTTAATTACGGTTTATATATATATATATATAGGGGTTGTGCTTTTCTTCAACGTTGTACTGTATGCTACCACCCCCAAAGAAAACATGTCTATAATTCTATACTAAGCTTGATAAATGTTATACCCAGAATCTGCCACAAAAAATGATAAACAATATAATTAATAAAAGAACAATGAGTCCCATACCCCCCCAGCTTACGCTAAGGATATGAAGGTACTGGGTGGCCTCTATGGCTGGTCACATGGCCGCGGTTTGAGGCAGCAAATGGCCACGGAGGAAGATATGACAACCCAGCCCTGCATTTGGAATCCTGCACCATCTAAGTTTCTGTTGCTATGCCGTTGGTGGAATGAGATGGTCGTAACATCCATTTTCACTCACCAACATCCAAAAACTAAGTCGGACTCCCGTCTTTTGGCTCTTTGCGACGCGTACCAATTGACATCTCACGGGGCATTCGGCCAAACAACGCAGCCGCTGGTGCTGAAGTCGCCACCACGGCCAGGATCACCAAGAGGTCGGCTTCCCACGTCCCTCACCGGCTTCTGAAGCACCACTTTGACGCGTCAAATCCTTGGCCAACGGCAAGCAGTCCACCAGTATTGCACTCAAACATCTTGCAGGCTGAGTCGTTGGAAGTCTTCACATTCACCATTGGCAGATTTCACCATTGGTGGCGTACCAATCTGATCCAATCTGAAGGTTTCACCAGTTCCTGCCAGCCGCTCATTGATCGAGGATCCTCCAGGTGTTGATGCCATCACCGATCCTTGGACTTCCTCTGCTTGGACATCTCTTGCTGAAGCTGGAGCCTCAAGCACTGGCCGCTTCCAGGTACGAACCATGTCAAGACTTCATATACACATACCGAATGTTTTATGCAATAAGGTGCCAAACAATGGCTTTGGATCATGATTATGGCCATTTTGATCCATTTGGGCCATTTTACAAGCATACTACCCCATGTTCAAACCTGGAAAATCCTCAACGTCCACCACTTGCCACAGCCAAAGGCACCGATGCCATGGCGTGTGCACCTTGGCCCTGCTGGCGCGGAGGGAGAAGCGACTCAGGCGGCGGTACTGTTCGGACCTTGGTGCTGGGATGGCCCAGGGAAGTGAGCTAGCATGGCAGCATGACACGTCCCAGTTGTAAAGGACAATGATTAATGTGATCCATTTACTGATCGGAAGATAAAGTAAGTAAGGTACATCAAATTACCCAAAATCCAATAGTTCAAGTCAAGACAACCAATTCACCGGTTCAAATACAATGAATTGGGGGGGCCAATTGCAAACACAGCCATATGGGTGCATTCCTTGGGGGCAGCTTTCCCACAGCTGGCTGGGAACCAGGCTGTTGAGCATGCGAGTCTGCTCGCTTCACGTCTCGATTGACCACCACTTGTTTGATGATGCTGTCCTTGCAAAGCGATGTGTAAGTTACACATTGCATTGTCCATCTTTGGGGAACTCGAATGACCACAATTTGGTTGCTTTTGGTAGGGAATGCCGTGGTTTGGGGCCGGTTGACAATTTGAATTGGCATGAGTTGGCGACTTTGCTTGGGCCAACATCGAACCAAAAAAAGCTCCACCGGAAGATCAGTTTCCGACCAGAAATTGCCACTTCGGGGTTCCACGTTGAATTTCAGTACGTTGACCACTGCATCAGCCACTTTCAGTCATATGTAGTTGATTTCACTTGGGTTTTCCTGTGAAGGTCATCCAGAAAGGTCCATCAACCTCCCCCTAAAAAATGCCAGGTGCGTAAGCTACATCCAACTCGCCACAGAGTTCCCTGACCTCAGATCCACAGCCAAAATTGCAGCACCATCAGTGGAGCCACGTGGATACCAGCAATGCTACCCTTTCTTCTAGGAATATATTTTTAATCGCAGTACGCATGTCTTGGGCTACTCCTAGCAGTGCGGCGGCAAAGCTTGGATGATTCAACTGATCAACCAGCCCATTTCAGTGTCGTTCTTCCACGCAGTCGCAACTCTAAACCAAGATCCACCATGATCCACCCAGGGCCATTGACGACCCCCAGAAATTGAACTCAGCCTGGTGACCCGAGACTTGCCAAGGAAGCCGATCAACGAGACCCTGGGTGGGGCAAATGGAGATGAATCAATGGGCTGCAGCCATCCAGATATGGCACAAAACTTGGGGGGCCATAGACATTGAAGTTGACATAACATGGGGTGATGTTGGGCCACAGCAGTGAAAGAAACTTGCTTGCCCATCATGTGTGGGGGCGCAGCGCCATCCAACTGCAATCACTGATGCTACAGAATGGGGAGCCAACGGGGCAAAAACGACTTGTAACAATTATTCCAGAAACCCACCCATTCATGGCTCAGCCCCATGCAAGGTTATAGCATCTGGCTGCTGCCGCGACTGAACCTGCAAGAAAAATTAGAAGAATAGTCAGGTTACCATTTCAAATGGGGTAGTCATTGTCTGAAAATCAGCCTGAGTGCCCCCCTCCTAAACTTCCAGGGAAGGGACAAATAGTCGAGTATCCTCCTTGTCTGATCTGAGGCTCAGGCCATTCCTTGGAACATCTCCTGGCAGCATCTTTTGGGCGGGAAGGCGCCTCGCATCACAAACCTTTCAACATCAGCCCCGTTAAACATCAGACTCATTGAATTGAAGGAAAATAGGAAATATATGATAGTAATAATGATAATAACAATATTATTATATAATTATATATATAATTATTCTTATTATGATTCTAGAATTATCTGATATCCTCCACTTGATGAGGAAGCTTGCAAATCCATAGTTTGCATCATGGCCAAGTCACTCTGACTGCAATGGATCCCCCCATCCCGTCCTCCGCTTCGATCGCTGGGCGGTGTCTGAACGCCTTGAGGAATGCCTCATGCACGGTGCAGACATGTCATTGCCGGGGCACTCAATCCAGATCCTTTGGAGTTTTATGGAGTTTTGGAGCGCTGAGATGCGCACGTTCCAAATGACCACGTTGGGACGGACCTCAGGATGATGGGATGGATGTGGTCACTGCTACCTGGTACCTGATCCATTCGACACCTTCATACCGGCAATCAGCCGCACAGCCACATCAACCCCTGGTAAAATGAACATCTGCTCTCACTGATCTGCTAGATTCTGCTAGGCTCGGCGCTCCAAATTCACCCATCTTCCTGCTGTGACACGTGGAGGCACAAAGCATCAGCTCATCACCAAAACCCTATAACTACGCCTTTAGCATGTCGAAACATCCTCTGGACTTCAGCATGACCCACGAAAACTTCGAAAAAAAAGAAGGGAAAAGCATGGAAAAGCGACAAAGCATGATCAAGTCATGATCAAACATTATCAAACCATGTCAGCAGGACTCCATCCAGTCTTTTGCACCGTCCACCTCGGCATGATGTTTCCTACAATGCCGTCATTCTAACATTTTAGTTTCCGATCTGTTCTGATCTGTTCTTTTTTTTCAACCCACTCATCTCTGATCTTCTTTTCCTATCGGAAACATGGTAGGTGGCCAAGCGGACCATCGACTCGTTACTTTGTGAACACTAAGTGGCACCTTTTATGGCACGGAGAGCCAAACAACCTGATAGAACTGAAGTAAATCGACGCAAATGATCGCCCACTTCAAAAGCAAATGCAAATGCAATTCGATGCAATTTGCTTGATACCCCCCATGGCAATTCCAGCTGGCCAGCTGCATCCGAGCCACATCACCTTGCCTCAGTTTCTGGAGTCATCCCTCATCTTATCTTGGGCTTGCCCCCAACTGGCCCCCAGTCGTAAGTAGCTATCATTAAAAAAAAAATAGAAATCCCCTTTGCGTCACTCCACTCAGACTCAGCCTGACAGCAAAAAAAAATACATCATGTCATGAATGATCGATAAAGCCACCTTTTGCAGTTGGGCTGCTTCCCAACCACTGCTCAGACGGCTCCATCAAGCTGGTGATCAAACGGCTCCGCTAAGGTCCCCACTTCGCAGCGCCATTGATCAATGCTCCAAAGGTTGCTGCATCAGGCCGGCCTATACGACCTGACGCGGCCAACGACGGGGATCCCTAGGGATATCCGGGATATAATGTAGTTTCCACTTCATTGACCCAACACTAATCACTAATTCGGGGATCATTTAAGTGGACACAGGCACAGGCCAGTTACATAAATGTTCTCCTCTCTGAACAAAAATTAATCGGCCACTGACAGGTGCTGAATGGTGCTGAGCTCCCACACACAAACGCCTAAGCAATCTGTGCTTGTGGGACATGCATAAGTTGACATAAGTTGACATGAAGTGGATCAAATCTACTTGTGCATAGTCTTCAATGCAGTCTGCCCCTAGGTACCCTGTGATAAACTTAAATGGGCGAGAGGCAATGAGAAATCAATGTTTTCAATTGATCCAATAGGTGACTCATTACCACATAGATCCATCCGTGCCATGGTCAAGAACGGTTTATGTGGTATGGTAATCCATAACGGCAATCTTAGTCTTAATGGGTAATTATATAATATCATCTAAATCCCTGTCAATAGATTGATGACATCCCCCAATGGGCAATACACCCAAGTTTTGACCATCAAACATATAGTGGATGTTTGCTTGCAGTGTTCTGTCAACTGGCAATTGCACCTTTTCTCATTTTTCTCTCGGCACAGCATCAACATACATTAATAAATGGTCAGATGCTTCACCGTGGCATTCGGATAGTAGGTCTTCTTGAGAATCCTAAGCCAGAAAGGATTCGGACTCAGCCATCCGGTAGCATGATTTCATCATCCTGCCATACAGCTGCTACTCTTTATATAGACTGCTACGTCATGTACAACATTGTACTACTATCAACCCAGGGAGAAATGGAAGAACCAGTGTGGGGTTGATGATTTTCGGGGAACCCCCGATTGCAAGAAACCTGGTTACCTGGTTCGGTGGTCACCAAGCATCTCCGCCGCAGCCACCGAACGGTGCCGGCCCTTGGTGCAGTTGATGGAGATGCATTTCAGGTCGGAATGCTCCACCTGGTTCCGCACATGGGCATGGCATATTATCCAGTTGCAGATAAATCATGAAAAAAACATATTGTAAATCGAAGATATTTCTGGGTGCACTTTTGGCTCCACGCCCAAATGAGGCTGTTTGACTTTTTTCATAGCGCGATAAGATGAAGGCCACGAGCAAACTTGCAACTTCATTAAGTTCGGTGTTCCTTGTCCAATGCTGTGCTCGCGACCATCGCCTTTTCCGAATCCGATGATATGATGGATATTGATCTGAGCAAAAACATGACCTGGCATGACCATGACCTGGTATTTCATCTTTGCGCCATGTCTATGACCTTATCACTTAAAAGTGAGTCAAAACAGAAGTCAGTCAACCATGGAAGTGGACTTCCCACCTTGGCACAAACCATCGAGATCCAGCGTGGGAAAAGACCACAGGAGGCAACGTTGCTCTGCACCTCATCCCACAAGCCATTCCTCGGGCAAAAAATCATGTAGAGGCACACCCAGTAAAAGATAAGATAGATATCGGCATATCGGTAAGAAATCGTAAGCAATCGTAAGATATCTATATACATCATTCTAAATCATTCCAAATCATCCAACATCATCAACTAGCGCCTAGCCTGTTTGATCCAAGTTAGCTTGTGTGATCGTATGTCCACTAGGGCTTGGAAACCTGATTGGAATATGATCTTGACTTGAATTCATGGAGTGAGGAATGCATTTTCGGATGTGCCTGCAAGGCTTTGTCTGTTCGCCACAAAAACGTCCCAAGCTTTTTGAGACTAGCTGGTAGCAGCCAGGATTAGCCAGGGATCATGGACTTCAAATCCGCCCCACCACCACGGCCATTCAGAATCCCAGCATTGAAGTTGTGTTCGCTGTCACCGGGGGCAGCTTTTCGCAGTGCCTTACCTCAGTTTAAAAAAAAAAAAAAAAAAACATCAAAAAACCATGGGACAGATTAAACATAATTGGAAAAACCTAGTAAGACTTCCCAGATTTGATACCCACCAAGCACAACCATTATTTTTAAAAATTGTTCTTCAATGTTCTTCAGATATTTATTTTGCCCTTCCAATTTTCGTGCTCTCCATCCACTTCCAACCCAAACCCAACAGTTTGCCAAGCAAATAGTGGCTGACCCCATGTGTACACCAACAAAGGCCTGTCCCGTCGCACCCCCAGCTCATCTGCGCTTGGAAGGAAGTCAGGACCAGTGTCCTGGGTATCTTCCTGAGTGGTGTCACCATGGTGGCACCATGGAAGCTGGAAATGTGCAAACCTTTGACCAAAAGGACCATCAACTCTCATCAACTCTCATAGCTTGGCCATGGCATACCAGCCTGTACCAGCATGGTACCTGTTGCTTCAAGGTGTCGCCTTTTTTATCACTACTTCCCCTGACCCGCTAGGAGCCGCCAAGCGTCATCTTCCAAGAAGCCCGGCTCCGCGGAACGCTGTGCCGTGACCCACTCCAGCAGCCGCGCCCCGAAGTTTTCAGGATCAGCTGTGAGCTGCATGGAGGCCCAGTCCATCAAATCTTCTGCATCAACACCTGACCATGGGGATGGGATGGGGATGTGGAGGGGAAAGGGATCATCAAAGACAAGTGGTTTTCATCTTGGATATCTGGGTCCCCAAGATGTTCATGTGAGGTTCAAAATGAAGCTTTCACCAGATGTGGCGATCTAAACATGTGAGATTAAACACATGTGTAGTCATATTTGAACAAATTAAGCATATTCAATTTCATTCAATTTCATTCATTGATTCCTTTTCCTGCACACAGCATGCGTGTCCCAAAGTAAGAATCTTTGAAGCTCTCTTGCCCCAACATGTTAGGGCATCCAATGAAGGTATTCGCGTTTGAAGTTGGGCAATATAATTCCATCTCGATTGACAGTAAAAAACCTTCAATCCTCCACCAAACTGTTGTAGTTCTTGGGGCCAACTGAAACCATGTATGCATATATACATGTATGTAAATGTGTGTCTCTGAAAAAGTGTGTCACGTGTGGGTTTCTTTCGGTCTGAGGATGAAGTAGATACAGGAGATCTGAGCCACCCAATTTATTCACCCATAAGACATCCCAAAGACGAACTGAATACTTGCAGCGAAAACACCAGAAAGAATAATCGAAGGATCACCCCGTGATAAGAACCCCCCAAATCAACCCAACTGTTTTGCTGGAATGTCTTGGAAGGTTTCTGTTGGTTTTTATCCTTCTTTGTGTGTGTGTGTGTGTGCGTGCTATGTATGTGCACTACCATTATCCCACCTCCTATATGTCCAATTTAGATCCTCCAATTTTCCCATCCCCCATCCCCCCACGGCACCGTCCACCGTGATGCTCAGCTCCTCCCCGACCTCCACCGTCACGCCGCGCTCGCTCTCCGCGAAGACGCCGCTGAAATCGCTGAAGCCGGCGGAGCACAGGGACGGGCCCACGGCACCGCGCCTGGGAATCATATTCCTGAAAATAATCTGATGAATATATATATATATATAGGTAGATATATCCTTGGAGAGATGTAGTATTCACTGTAACACGTTGGTTTTTCTTCGAACTGACCGGTTCTTGGATTAAGAACTATGTACATACACTATAGTGATATATCTCTCTCTCTCTCTCTCTGTGCATATATGTATGAGTTGAGAGTCAGGAGCTTTTCCATGGAGAGTGGCCAACGAGTGTAGATTTGTCTAAGACAGAATATGGCAGAATGCAAGCGCTTTTCACATGGAAAACTCTTTCTTGATCAACTCCAGCCAAGCATCATCTCAGGCGACAAGGGGACACTGCTTGGCTTGAGCTCCTGTGCCTCGCAAAATCAACGGGGACGGGCATTTTTACATCGACCTAGGAGCACGACCATGCAAACAAGTGCAATCCGGTATACGAGCCCCGAAAATCCCGGAAGCAGCAAGATGTTCAACAGTCGTGTAGGTCCGCAGTGCCTTCTGCTGAGTTTTTTCCCAGAAAATGAAGCTAAGTCAGACCATTGCCCCAAAAACATCCCAAAAACCCATGACTTATATGACTTAGACTTGGAACAACATGGTTTCATATGTTTTCTATGTTTCCCTATTGCTTAATGGCCATAAATTCCAGAATCCAACCCGCAGCACCTCCACTGAAGCTGCCTCCGCCTCTGCAGGTGAGTCTTCCATGGCAGCCAGGGCCTCGCGCACGTGCTCCACCCATTGGTAGATGCAACTTTCACCTGCCGTGCTTTCACCGCTGCCCATGTAGTGATCTTCATCCGAGTTTGGAATGATTTAAAAATGGATCAAAGAATGTCATGCGTTTTTGCCACATGACTATTCGACGCATTAGACATTCTTATTTAGGAGATCTGAAAGATCGGGTCCACGGTGTTCAATGTTTAGTTGTATTAGAGAGATTTGGTGCAATAAATGTGTATGATCGCTCAGCTTATTGTACAGTACATGACCTAGTCTTCTTGGTATCTATCTGATATGTTTCATGATGTTTCTGGTTTTCTCACAGGTGATTATCCAATTGCAAACTGGGATGCACATCCAAGATCATCCAAGTAGGTCAATGCATGGTTTGCTTTTCTTAGGACGGGAAAATGATGCAAACTTACAGGAAACCTGAGATTTACCGTGATAGTGTAGCAATGCAGTGAGACTTCTGAGCTGGTGCCAGTCATTAGCTTAGCGGCTTAGCAGCTCAGCCACCATACTTCCACATGATCATGGTACAAGACTGATGAATGAGACGAGAGTCTCAAGAACACCAGTGAATGTCCAGCATGACATTGATGCATGCGCCGTGCTTTCTATCAACAACCATTCTGAGCCTTAGCCACCCTGATTTGCAGGTTCATGGATACCGTAGCATATCATTTGCATATATAGTATGTCTGAAATCGTTCATATTTATATGATGGACATTTATCATGTGTATATATATATATATATAGACTATATAGATATATGTTTATCATGCATTCTGTCTTCACATTCCATATGGGCCCCGTGAAATCCACCACCTGGACTCCACAGGGGTGGCAGTTCCATCTCCATCCTCTGAGCAAAGGCAGTGCCATGCGCAGGCCAAGGGTCAAATTCCAATGCAGCCTTCGGGGCGGCCTGGTCCTGGGCAGCTAACTGCTGAAAATGTAGCTATGAATCGAAGTGATATGAGGCGTTTTGTTCATGTTGGTTTCATTTAAGATGTTCAGTTATGTTCAGTTGGGGCCTCGCTTCCTTCCCCTGCAAAATCAGGGCAGGTCATCTGACTTCCGGGAGAGGGGGAAAAAAACACTGCCCAGCAATGCCCAGCACATCAGCCAGGTGTCTGGATATCTTGAATCCACCTTGACCTTCACTTTGCAACCGTGCTCAGGTAGGCCAATCCGCCATGTGCCATCGGCCAGGATCTCAAACTCTTCCTGGTAGATGGCCTCTGCTGATGACGTTAACAAAGAGAAAGAAAACTCTGACTAAGTCTTGTCTTTACTACAATAATGGTGATGAATAATTACCTTTCTATCCTGCCTTTCTATATATATATATATCTGTTTTGGGGGTTTAGTTGTATATGCTTCCTTGGACTGTCCATGGCTATGTTTGGTTCCCCACCTCCAAAGCATCCTTCTCATCATCCATGGCGATCACAGGCGCGGCTCAAAGCTCGTCGACCATGGCATACCAACACGACCAACACTGGGTCGACTTGGGGAAACGCACTGGAAACATCTGGAAACCATAGTTTCTATAGGGCATTATAGGAGTATTTGCAGTAGCTCCGGGGCACATGTTCCCCATCGAGTCAGCTCGTCCCTGAATTAGACCAGACTGTTGCAATACCAGCCATGGCCGCATTTAACTTCCAACTGCATTCTGGTTGCCTGAATTGTCTGGGTAGCAGGCATGCCTCTCGCTGCAAGTGTCTTCGTTATGCAGGAGTTGTCCTGCTTTACAGGGATCCTAATCACCATATCTCACCATGGGCATCACTTAGCCTGCCCCAGGTAAAATATGCTGCCACGTCAAGCGTGCTGTTGAGCCAGTGAGGGCAAGAGAAATCCATTAATGCATCCAAATTGGCACCTTGGGTTTCCATGCAAATGATCAGCCATTGTCTCAATATGTCTCAATGAAATGATAGGGAGCCCAGCAAGCCTGGGCCAAACTGCTGAGCCGCCCGAACTGGAAATACCTCTTTGCAGCTTCCATATCGCCAGAACGGGCCTCTGAGGGTCGTGCGGTGTGTCCTGCATTCCCAGCTTTACAACTCCCTTAAGGCAGTTCCAAAGTACCTGGCCCTCGGCCATTCTTCTCTCGCAACATAGGTGGGTGATGGGCATTGGGCCTGCGAGATCCTTTGGCAGAAGCATGCTTGATCATCTTTTCACAAGATCCCTTGGCTTCTGCCACAGCCAATGGTTGAAACAGCGTTGGTTGGACCACAATTGGTTGAACCCCCATTGGCTGATGTTGCTGTTGATCACGGGACCAGCCAGCTTGCCCCATCCCCATGAGGATCGCACCATGGCATCGATCACGGTGTTGAACGTGACCACCTGAGGCCCAACGTCTTCTGCCGTGGCCCTGGGGCCACGTTCCCCAGAAGTAGCATTGGCAACATTGGACGCTTGAATGGCAGGCCCTTGTCATGGTGGTGTTGTGCAGTCATTGCCTGCTGGGAAGCAGAACTTTGAGATCCACAAATATACACCAATAGTATTCAGACTTCTTAAATCCTTTAGGATGCCGTTTTTTGGCAAATATTGTTTTTACGATGTCAATACGATTCTTTTATGATTTGCAGATATGTTTTTTTTTATGGATGGGAAAATGACTTATGATTTGTTTACGGCTTTGGATATGTTTTTTTTTAATGGTTTTAAATACGATTTTTGATTTTAATCGATTTGCCACCAAGGTCCCCAGAATCTATAGTTTTTAGCCAAAAACTCGAGAAATTTACGATTGTTTTGCGATTTTGGTACGATTTTGGCCAAAACAATTTCCAAACCCACAAAAAAATCGAGAAAAAAAAAACATATCCAAAGCCATTTTAAAAAAACATATCAAAAAAAAAACATAAGTGACTTTTCCAGTCGTACCCAAAACCCAAAAAAACAAACATATATAACCACAATTTGATCCCATAAAAAATCATAAATGGAAATCGTATCCAAATCATAAATAAATCATTTAAAAAAAAAACGTTCATCCTAGAGACTTAGGAACTCTGAACAATAGTAGGCCTACAGAATCACAACACTATAAACTTAATATACACGTTACTACGCCACAAGAACGATCAAGGACACTAGGGCTTCGGGCATTGGGCTGGAAGTTATCCATGGTCTCAAACCACTCAGCCACTTCCTGGGACGGGGTGGTGCTGATCCCACGGCGCTCCAGTGGGAAAACATGAGAAAACTCTGGAAGAATATGGAAAAATATGAACAAATAGAATAAAAATGCATAAAAATGAATACTGGAAATCATCCAAAAACATCTGGAAAAACTAGAGTACATCATCCAAACCCTGTTGAAATCAATGGAATGAACCGCAATGGACGGGAATAGTTTGCATTGTCCTCGCAACACTGCCGTAAGAATCTGGCCGTGGCATTGTCCCGCAATGCATGGAGGAGACAGGAGTGGGTCACCTCTTGGGCCAGGGATGGTCAATGGGCTCGGGTTTTTGGCTGCTGCACCAGAGATATTTCTGAATTCCCTGGAAGAAAAGAAATGGAACCCTAATAAATCTAATAATTTGTAGAGGGCAATCATGGAATTTCTTGAAATCATACTGTACTATTACGATCTATTATATATTACTATTGGTGTGATGGCGCCCTTAATCATGATTACTCAACATCATTGCACCCCTGATCCCTTCACCCTATTGAGCCCAATGACAAACGCCCCCTCAGAAACTGAGGTTTAGTGTTAGAATCAGTTCGTTTTGGGGTCCGATGTCGGGGTGCCTGTCTGGATAAATTTAATGACTAGGGAGGTACGATTACAGCCCCACTCAAGAATATCATAAAATTACGGGAACTTGTTTAGATGCAACGAACAAATAAAATATAATGAATCAGCATATTTATCAACCCCTAGCTGCCCCAGCCTCATTGGGCGAGATTCGAAGAAGTGGAGCTGCGCCTCAGCGAACGGCATCAAAAGTCACCAGCAATGGAATGTTTGGATAACTGCTTCCAAGATGAACAGGTTGGAAAGTCCAGAAAGAAAGAAATTTCAGGAAAACATGTTTGAAGATGTTTGAAGTCTTTGACATCCAAAGTTGGGCGGCTCAGCTTCTGGATTTGTTTCACTCTACTGTGCCAAGTTGGGGAGGTCGTTCATGAGAGGAGCATCTTGGGCAGCCAAGTTTTAACTTTGCAGAGTGCTGAGTTCAGACGTTCCAAGCCTTTGCAGCCAGCAAACCCTACTAGTAGACACAACAAGCCCGTCATTGCTGTATTTGTGCAACTATATCTTCGCAAACTTCCGCCACAGCAAAGCTAGGAGCTACCTGGTAGCTGACAAAACTTCCAACATACCAAGCACGTGCACTCCTTGACTCCTTATGTGTAACTATACACCTTCACGAACCTGAAAGGTAGAGGAGCGCACGCGGATCCAACTCAACTGCGCACACGGACAGATGTGATTCAGACACGCACACATCTCACTTGCTTCATCCATCTTGGCGTGCGGTGGGGCGGGTTTGTAAATGTTCACTTACACTTGCACACGTACCCGATGCCACGCCACACTCTTCCATTCCTACCTGCACACACACACACACACTTGGTGCTACGTCACCCGTGGGGTGGGTGGGGCTGGGTGGTAACGTTCACTTGCAGTTGCACATGTTTGATGCCACGCTACACGTTCTTGGAAGCACAACCATTACGTGCTCCCGGCTTCGGTTGAACATAGAGGGTTTGAAGGCTGCAGAGCAATGCTACTCCATGATACAAGCTTTCATCAAATTCAAAACCAAACGTCCGGTTCCTCGTTCCACCTTCTCCTTAAACTTTAAACATATTGGTTTCCATTTACTCTTTAACCAAATGCTTCTGAAAAGGGGAGACGTGCTCACGCTTGCCATCGCGCCTTAGACCGAAGCCAAACTTACCAAGTTTTGACTTTGCAGAGTGCTGAGCTTACGCGTTCCAAGCCTTTATATACAGCCAGCAAAGCCTACTACAAGTCCTTCATTTCCTATAGCAACTACAAACGCCTACTATTTTTCTATCTTTCTCCGCCATTTCCACAAAGCCAGGTATTGCCTTGCTGAGTGGGGTTGGTTTGCATGGACAGTTGAGCCAAAATCGAAGCGAAATTGAATCAACGACCCCCGTCTCACCCTGCACTTGCGCTTCACAAGGACGTAACACCGTCACAAGCGTAGCTGAGTTTCACAGGGCTGGATGCTTTATTCACGTCAAACGTAGCCGAGTTATCGAGTTGCACAAAGGTGTAAACATGGCACACTGAGATTTATATAGATTTATAGTGCAAATATCCCCCACTTGAAACCTAAGTAATCTAAGTATTAGGTGTACACGTGTGACACTGCGCCCCAGATAGATGCTTCACTGTCGGTGCATGCTCGGTACTCCGTGCATCTCTGCATCTCGTCCCACTGCGATCTGTATTGAGTTGACCGGGGGACGAGGTGATAGGCTGAAAACCGATGGCACTCCATGGTTCAAAATGATCAAAAAATGGAGCTCCAATGATCTCTAAGGCCCAAAAATAGGAGCATCCTCGCCTAAGTACGCATCTAACGTTGCGACCGTAGCTTGTAAATGCTAAAATGCATTCAAAATCCTTCACATATTCTATATTATTTATACTCTATGCTCTCTTGCACAAGGAGTTTCTATGCAGGTTCTCAGTCAGGATGTCAATGACTTTCAATTGCGACTTCAAGGGGAAATCTCTTGCTCGGTCCGGTTTGCTAAGTTCGTCTTTGCTGAGCCAAGAAAACAAGTGGCAAAAGGATAAAACCACCGGGGCCAGCGTTGCCGAAAAAGGCAGTTGCAAATAGTCACAAGTTCCATCCACACAACGCAGCTGTAGCTCCAGAGATATCACCATCGCCCTCGGTGACAGGCGCACACCGGGCCTCAGCACCGACAAACATGCCTTTGTAGCAGATGTAGTACCTAAAATGAAAGTAACGAACGCAAACCCGGACGGATGATGTTTTGAACATCCTAAAATCATCTAGACCATCTAAAACCTTGAATGGGAGGCCACTATTTCATACTATTTCATCATTGATAGATCGGGACCAAAACCAAACCATCGTGTTTGGAATTGCTTTGGTCTTTGTTTTGCTGCTCACCATTGCTAGTTACAATGCTTCCATCGGATTGATTGGTGCTTGAGCTTCAATTCGATTTCAAGTTTAAAGTTGAAGCCATGCATCTAAACAGTCATGAAAGTCCACTTATCTTGTTGGATAGAGTATGCAATTCACGCATGAAGCACTTGTAATCCGCATTCGACATTGAAACAGCATTGAACGTATATAGGTGGTGAGTATACCGTATACCCGAATAGCCTGCAAATGCTCAGCTCCGCCTCCTTATTTTTATTTCCAACACGCTCATTCCTTGAACGCGTTTGCAAGAACGCAGCTCCACCTTCAACTATTGTAGCGCAGGGGGCGTTGCCAAGATACCGGAGGCGTTGCTCCAGTTGCAAAGGTTCCACCTCAGGTCCAGAACCTCAAGCCGCGCATCTGTTCAGATCCTGCTGATCTTGTTGTCCAGTGTCTGCAGCTGCACCAGCCCTGCAAGGAATCTGTTGGAACATGTGCGTCCTCAGCTGCGCCAGGCCCTGGACTGCAGGAATGGTGGTCAATGTCCTGTTTGAGCTCAAGCTTAGCCACCAAAGCTTGTGTAGTCCTGTAGGGTCTGCTGCGTCAACATATTGGCTGATGCAGGGCCTGGCTCAACTGCAGAAACTCGAGCTGCTAGCGTGAGTGTCTGCAGCTGTGCCAGGCCCTGGCATCTGTTGGGGTGCTTCTGATCTGGTTCCCACCCAGCATGTGCGTCCTCAGCTGCGCGAGACCCCGGACTGCAGGAATTGTGGTCAACCTGTTTGAGCTCAAGCTTAGCCACGGAGCTTGTGTTGTCCTGTAGGGTCTGCTACGTCAACATATTGGCTGATGCAGGCCTGGCTCAACTGCAGACACTCAAGCTGCTAGCGTGAGTGTCTGCAGCTGTGCCAGGCCCTGGCATCTGTTGGGGTGCTTCTGATCTGGTTCCCACCCAGCATGTGCGTCCTCAGCTGCGCGAGGCCCCGGACTGCAGGAATTGTGGTCAACCTGTTTGAGCTCAAGCTTAGCCACCGGAGCTTGTGTTGTCCTGTAGGGTCTGCTGCGTCAACATATTGGCTGATGCAGGGCCTGGCTCAACTGCAGACACTCGAGCTGCTAGCGTGAGTGTCTGCAGCTGTGCCAGGCCCTGGCATCTCTTGGGGTGCTTCTGATCTGGTTCCCACGCGAGGCCCCGGACTGCAGGAATTGTGGTCAACCTGTTTGAGCTCGAGCTTAGCCACCGGAGCTTGTGTTGTCCTGTAGGGTCTGCTGCGTCAACATATTGGCTGATGCAGGGCCTGGCTCAACTGCAGACACTCGAGCTGCTAGCGTGAGTGTCTGCAGCTGTGCCAGGCCCTGGCATCTGTTGGGGTGCTTCTGATCTGGTTCCCACACAGCATGTGCGTCCTCAGCTTCGCCAGGCCCTGGACTGCAGGAATGGTGGTCAACGTCCTGTTTGGGCTCAAGCTTAGCCACCAGAGCTTGTGCAGTCCTGTAGGGTCTGCTGCATCAACATTTTGGCTGATGCAGGGCCTGGCTCAACTGCAGGAACTCGAGCTGCTAGCGTGAGTGTCTGCAGCTGTGCCAGGCCCTGGCATCTCTTGGGGGTGCTTCTGATCTGGTTCCCACGCGAGGCCCCGGACTGCAGGAATTGTGGTCAACCTGTTTGAGCTCAAGCTTAGCCACCGGAGCTTGTGTTGTCCTGTAGGGTCTGCTGCGTCAACATATTGGCTGATGCAGGGCCTGGCTCAACTGCAGACACTCGAGCTGCTAGCGTGAGTGTCTGCAGCTGTGCCAGGCCCTGGCATCTGTTGGGGTGCTTCTGATCTGGTTCCCACCCAGCATGTGCGTCCTCAGCTGCGCGAGGCCCCGGACTGCAGGAATTGTGGTCAACCTGTTTGAGCTCAAGCTTAGCCACCGGAGCTTGTGTTGTCCTGTAGGGTCTGCTGCGTCAACATATTGGCTGATGCAGGGCCTGGCTCAACTGCAGACACTCGAGCTGCTAGCGTGAGTGTCTGCAGCTGTGCCAGGCCCTGGCATCTCTTGGGGTGCTTCTGATCTGGTTCCCACGCGAGGCCCCGGACTGCAGGAATTGTGGTCAACCTGTTTGAGCTCGAGCTTAGCCACCGGAGCTTGTGGTCCTGTAGGGTCTGCTGCGTCAACATTTTGGCTGATGCAGGGCCTGGCTCAACTGCAGGAACTCGAGCTGCTAGCGTGAGTGTCTGCAGCTGTGCCAGGCCCTGGCATCTCTTGGGGGTGCTTCTGATCTGGTTCCCACGCGAGGCCCCGGACTGCAGGAATTGTGGTCAACCTGTTTGAGCTCAAGCTTAGCCACCGGAGCTTGTGTTGTCCTGTAGGGTCTGCTGCGTCAACATATTGGCTGATGCAGGGCCTGGCTCAACTGCAGACACTCGAGCTGCTAGCGTGAGTGTCCGCAGCTGTGCCAGGCCCTGGCATCTGTTGGGGTGCTTCTGATCTGGTTCCCACCCAGCATGTGCGTCCTCAGCTTCGCCAGGCCCTGGACTGCAGGAATGGTGGTCAACGTCCTGTTGGGCTCAAGCTTAGCCACCGGAGCTTGTTCACTCCTGCAGGGGCTGCTGCGTCAACATTTTGGCTGATGCAGGGCCTGGCTCAACTGCAGACACTCAAGCTGCTAGCGTGAGTGTCTGCAGCTGTGCCAGGCCCTGGCATCTGTTGGGGTGCTTCTGATCTGGTTCCCACCCAGCATGTGCGTCCTCAGCTGCGCGAGGCCCCGGACTGCGGGAATTGTGGTCAACCTGTTTGAGCTCAAGCTTAGCCACCGGAGCTTGTGCAGTCCTGTAGGGGCTGCTGTGCCAACATGTTTGCTGATGCAGGGCCTGGCGCAGCTGCAGGCATTCGACCGTGAGGAATGCCTGCAGCTGCGCCAGGCCCTGGAACGAATCTGTTGGGATCAGGTTTTCCAGCTTCATGTCCTTTCCGTGGGTCATAGAAAAGCACATGAGCACAAACATAATTAGTAGGGACTGACCAGCACAACTTCAATCTGATGACTGGGAACAAACATCCTGGTTAACCTGAGTTTTATATAGGACGATATAGGACGGAACAGATCGAAACAGTAGAGTCATAGTCAGTGTAGAGAGATTCTTTGGATGTTCGGGTGCCTGGGTTGAAAATAATCGCAACACAGGAACGACAAGAAACTTGCAAGGAAGCAATCTGAAGAAAATGTGAGCCAGGTTACATTTCCAGCCAAAGGTGCTCGTGGTTGCTGAGTGCTGATGAAGTCCACAATCTCCAGCAGCTACAAGGTGATGCCACGGCGCTCAGCTCTTGCAATCTGGCAGAGCCAGAGCCTCAACAACAGTGCGGCATCACAGTCCCTGGGCATCCCTGGCCAATCCTAGTTACTAAGGCCCTAAGATCTTCTCTCCCTGATCTTCCCTTGTGCCCACAGGTGCCAGGTACAAAATGCATATACAATCAAATAAATGTGTATGTGTGTTTAATCTATTTACTATATATTTATTTATTTATTTATTTACTATCTATATATATATATTATATGTATGTATGTGTGTGTATGTGCGTATGTATGCAATGTAAGACAATGTATGTAGGTAGGTAGGTAGGTAGGTAGGTATGCACGTACGTACGTACGTACGTATGTACGCAGGTAGGTAGGCAGTGCATGCATGCATGTATGTATGTATTTATGTGTATGTATGTATTTGAATGTATATGTGTATATGTGTATGTATGTGTGTGTATGTATGCATGCATGCATGCATGTATGTATGTATGTATGTATTTATGTATTTATGTGTATGTATTTATGTGTATGTATTTATGTGTATGTATGTATTTATGTGTATGTATTTATGTGTATGTATTTATGTGTATGTATTTATGTGTATGTATTTATGTGTATGTATGTATTTATGTGTATGTATGTATTTATGTGTATGTATGTATTTGAATGTATGTGTGTATATGTGTATGTATGTGCATGTATCTGTATGTATGTGTATGTATGTGTATGTATGTGTATGTATGTGTATGTATGTGTATGTATGTGTATGTATATGTACGTATGTATGTATGTATGTATGTGTGTATGTGCGTGCGTGTATGCGTGTATGCGTGTATGCGTGTATCCGTGTATCCGTGTATCCGCGTATCCGCGTATCCGTGTATGTTATGTATGTTGTGTATGTTATGTATGTTATGTATGTTATCTATGTTATGTATGTAACTATGTTATGTATGTTATCTATGTTACCTATGTTATGTATGTTATGTATGTTATGTATGTAAATGTATGTATATGTATGTGTATGTATGTATATGTATGTATATGTATGTATATGTATGTATATATATATGTATATGTATGTGTATGTGTATGTATATGTATGTTATGTATGTTATGTATGTCATGTATGTTATGTATGTTATGTATGTATGTATTGATTGTATTGTATTGTAATGTAATGTAATGTAATGTAAATATAATGTAATGTAATGTAATGTAAATGCAATGATGTATATATGTATGTATGTATTGTATTCTATTCTATTCTAGACTATTCTATTGTATTGTATTTTATTCTAGACTATTCTATTGTATTGTGTTGTATTGCATTGCATTGCATTGCATTGCATTGCATTGTATGTATGTATATATGATTATGTATGTATGTATATTTCTATTTTCGCATATAAAAACCCAAAATAAATGATCTTCCAAGAAACGCCGAGGCATCCAGGGCATCACCTGGCTGCAGCTGTTCTGTGCCATGGATCAAATCGTTGTCCCAGCTCCCTGGCTGCATCCTCTGCACAGCTGGACTCCCTGAATTGGACCAAAATGCTACCAAAATACGACAAACGATTCATGTAGAAGCTGTGACGTCAGCAAATGTGAAGCCTTTATGGGACTGACTGAGGGGGAACTGAAGAAGTTCTGTCGGATTTTTCGAGATGTGTCCAAACCAGTAGGTCCACATGCATCACATGTCAACAGACGTCAACGCTGAACAATGAAGAGAGATTGAAAACCACTCTTGTGAGAACAAGTTGATCAGTTGATGAATATCGTTGGTATCTTTGACTTTTGACAATCGTTCCCTTGTTTAACGCCCACGTTTAAAACTCAAGAACACGATGCACTGCGTCCTACAAGCATCAGTTGCTATCTGGCCCCCATCTGGGACACCCTGCAAAGGCCATCACTGTGACATCACTCCACGTCACTCCACGTGGCAGCCAGAAGCCGTGCCGTGAAAGCGCGGTTTTAATTGAAACTTCCAATGCACTCAGTGAGAGAAGTGAATCTTCCTGGAAAAGCTCCTCTATCAGACTCTATCACATAAAACGTCAATGAAAACTTGATGGGTGGTACGAGTGGTCATCTTCAACATCTTCAACTATGGGTGGAAAAGTGATGTTTAATGATGCACGTGTGATTCATGTTTCACTGCCAAATGCCGTTTTGAACGGGAAACCGGAAACGGTGCATCCAGGACACTCCAAATCTTAGCAAGCCAAAAAAGAAAAGGATACATCTTGCCTGCCATCATCGAGACATCCCCAGCGTTTTGCGAACGCTGCAATCCAACCCCACTTGAAGGATGATCACCTATATACTCCATCCTCCCGCAGACGAAAATCCATGCAGCCAAGATCTATAGAATTTATTAGAAGCTATAGATGCTATAGCGTGGCTCGGATTTATCAGCCCACCGTATCACCACATTGAAAGCCACGCGTTTGCAGTCATAACACATCCAGGTCAAGGCTTTGCCACCGGCCAGAGATCCCGGCCACTTGAGCTCAATCCTCATCCCAAACTGAGATACTGATAGTCACGTGGGGTTACCTTTTCTGCAGAGAGCGCCATAAAACCACAAATGCTGGTCATTTTGGAATGCGTTTGTGCCTGCAAGCTACCAGATACATCCGCACGGATTCAACTGAACTGCGCACACGGATCCAACTGCGCACACATGCGCACACCGATGTGACTCAAACACGCCCACACATCACACTTGCTTCATCAATCTTGGGGTGGGGTGGGATGAAACAGTAACGTTCATGGTAGCGTTCACTTGCATGAACACATGTACTTAATGCATCTTAATGCCACGGTACGTGTTCTCCGTGTTCTTGGAAGCATAACCATCACGTGCTCCAGGCTTTGGTTGAACTGAACATAATCTCAAATCTCAATTCAGAGGTCTTGAAGGCTGACGAGCAATACTACTGTATAATCCAAGTTTTCATCAAACTCAAAACCAAACGTGGGTTCCCTCATTCCACCTTCTCCTTAAACTTAAAACATGTGTTCTGATTTACTCTTTAATCAAATGCTTCTGAAAAGGGGAGACGTGCTCACGCTTGCCATCGCGCCTTAGACCGAAGCCCAGCTTACAGCAATTACCAAGCTTTGACTGTGCAGACTGCCGAGCTTACAGGTTCCAGGCCTACTACAAGCCCTTCGTTTCCTTTGGCAACTACGAACGCATATTTTATCATGTTTTATCGCCATTTTCGCCACCGCAAAGCCAGGTACTGCCTGGCTGACCGAACTTCCAACATACCAAAGCGCATGCGCAGTTAAGCGCGCTCATGATAGTTGGCAAAGCATCGTTGCAAAGTCCCAACATCCAAGATTGGGCCTTTGGGCCCCTATCTATTATATACATATTACTCATATATACTAAGACTCACATTTTATCTATATACACACTAAAAAATAAATAAATACATACATAGTATATATAATGTGAATATATAATGTGCATATATGTATATATATATATAATGTATATATTGTGTATATATAAAGAAAATGTATATATATATATAATGTGTATATATAATGTGTATATATAATGTCTATAGATATAATATGTAAATATATAATATATAATGTGTATATATATAATGTATATATATAATGTATATATATAATGTATATATATATAATGTGTATATATATATAACGTATGTGTGTAATGTATATATATATATAATGTATATGTATGTAATGTCTATATATATATATAATGTATATGTATGTGATGTGTATGTGTATATATATATATAGAATGTATATGTATGCAATGTGTATAATATATATATATTGGATTTTCCCGAGCATCATGATAGTTAGGGGATCCATTCACACCTCCAGGACAATCCAAGCTCCCCAACTGTACCAGTCCCTGGCACGTTCTGATCGCCCGCTGGCGGCCCGCAGCACGGCCGTGAGGGTGATGGCCTCGCCCAAAGCCGCTAAGCCAACGGCATCTTTTCGAGATGAACGCCATGACAAATTAAATTGCATGATGATTATCATTATTGTCATATTATTGTCATTATTATCATCATTATCACTATTATTATTATCATTATTATCATTATTATCATTATTATCATCATTATCACTATTATCATTATTATCATTATTGTCATTATTATCATTATTATTATATATATATATATCACTATTATCATTATTGCCACTATTGTCATTATTATCATGATTATCATTATTATCATTATTATCATTATTATCATTATTATCATTATTATCATTATTATCATTATTATCATCATTATCACTATTTTCGTTATTGTCATTATTGTCAATATTATCATTATTGCCATTTTTATCATTATTATTATTACTATTATTATTATATATATATATGTATATTATTTTGTTGATGATGATGATGATGATCTTAATCACAAGCTTGTCAATAATGATCTTAGCCGTGATCTTAAAAGGATGAGCCTAAGTGTGATCATATCATGATCAAATTCCATACCACCAAATAGATCCAAATGGAAGTGAGTAGGTGGGTTCTCGTCATACTGCTAGGAACCATCTTGTGCAGCCCTTGGCGCTTCCTTGGGCTCCGAACATCAGGTCGAATCCGAGCATCTTGGGCCTTTGCAAACCAGGCTTCTGCAGCCGAGAGATTGCCTGCACCACAAGCGGCGGAGGGGGGGCACAAAGGTTGGTACACGTGCTCTATGATGCTCTATGAACCCACGCCAAATGCTGAGGATTCATTAAGGATAGCAGTTCGACTTACCCGCTACTGACGGCAACACGGATTTGATAGGGACTGTAACTAGTTGTAACCCACCAATATCTGGTAGTTGCCCATGGTTTTCTTCTCAAACATCATCTGAAAGGACGGTTGCCCCTATTCAGTTAACACCGGAGGATCACCGACCTTGCTTGGCAGCAGCATGTACCAAGCTGTTGAACTCCACTTCGTCCAGCCTTCCGCTCAGAAGTGGCAGGCGGGAACCAACCGTGAGATATGCACCAGTCAACCAACAAGAATGGAGGATTTAACTGGCAAAACTGTGGATTAAGCGTTAGCTTGGCGGTTTCAACCCAGCTTGGCGGCTTCAACTCCTTGACAAAAAGTCATCACCATCACCATCACCATCACCATCACCATCATCATCATCATCATCATCATCATCCTCATCCTCATCGTCATCGTCATCGTCATCCAAGGGAAAAGACATAGAACAAATGAAGCCAGGAACCTGCTTTTGACAACAGCTTTGAAGGTCCACAAATACGTAGTGTCAACCCGGCTTTAATAAACCCCCGCTTCCTCCTGTATCTGAGGAGTCAACTTGTCAGCAAACAGTTGTGCCTCGGAGCTGGGGCCACAAGTCTACCAGGGAACCCCTCGGAATGCCACTGCCCGAGCTACTGTCACTGCTGAGGCAGCTGCCCGATCAAACCACTTTTCCGCACGTTGGAGATCGCCCTCCTGTGCAGCCTGAAGCTGGGAGTTCTGGAACTTAGTGATACCAAGATATACCAAGTGGACCAAGTGGCAGCCGGTTGCTGGGTCCAGAATTTGAAACAGCAAATCAAAGTGTAATATAGTGTAGATATTTTAAAAATCCTCCGCTTTAGTACTCCGACAAAGCTGATTCGTTTCAGACATGACACCATGGTTGTTGTTGGGGTAGGTGCCCTAGTTAGCAATGGCCACCCCAAACCTGGTCGATAAGGGGGGAGAAAGTCACCACGCTGATGTCCAGCCATTGCCTCACGGCGCAACAACTTGCTGACCGAAGAACCCGCCCACGTTAAAGTCCAATTGGCACTTAGCAGCACCTATATAGATGGAGGTTCCCAACAGTTAAGGTCATGTAAAGGTGTATGCACGGGCATATCCCCCAAAAATCATGCTTTTGATGGCTTCCCTATCACTCCTTCCCTTCTACTCGAAGCACATGATGTTGGGAGAATAGTACAGTATATAGTTGGCAAATCAACCACAATACTGCCTTGGACTTGGCTCAAGGATCCTAAACAATCATGGAAACGAAGGTGACTGAACAGCAATAGCAAAGACCCACGAGAAACCGTCAAACCTGGCCGCGCCTGAAAAAAAAAACTTTCAAAAGCCCAGAAAGATTCCCAAACCCTCAATACATCAGCATCACTCATACATCCCCCCAACTTTCCAAACACCCCCCTTTCCAAACATATCAGTAACATATCCTTCCCTATCCTTTCACCCAACCCCTGCACCCAGCGGGGCCTCAAGGCCTCTTCCAGGCACTCCTCCGCTCTCGCTTCGTCGCGACGACGGATGGCCTGGTCCAACTGCTGGGACCTGGGAGCATGTCAGCCATAGGCCACTGTATCCCAAAAAACGGAGTTTCAACATTCCAGTCTTAAAGTTGCCCTCCAGTAAATTTTCACATAAACATAGACCCTGAAAATGGTCAGGTTTTAGTAGAAACATGTAGAAACTAATCTTCCAAACCCCTATTTGGCAGGGCCGGAGGGCCTATGATGTTGTAATATGGCGTTATATGATGTCATATGAGTCATATGCGTGTATATATATATATACTTTTGTGTCACAACATGTCACAGCTATACCCCAACTATATCCCACTTACTCGGGGTTATAAGCCGCTTCCAAACCAGCTACGAACTAACGTAAGGAATCCTCTCAGCAAAGGAGGATGGTGTGGAGCAACCGGTAATAACCGGTATATATCAGGATATGGCTGAGATATATCAGGAATTCTCAGGAGAGGCCCAGAATACCCAGACTTAGTAACCCCCAAACATGGCTAGAATATGTCAGGATTTACGGTACCCCAAGTGTGGCCGCATGGCTTGACATGTTTGCACCTGCTTTGACCCACTTGATCCCACAACTAGACGACCGAGGTTCAACCGTTTGTTGATTTTCTTGCTGAAGGTGTGTTCCACACTATGCCAGGGGACCCCAAATGTTTCCAATTCAATTGCCTCCCCAATTATGTTGCCTGTGGAGATCTAGTTCTCAATTTGGCAGCAAAACCTCTGGAAACTGGATGGTTGCAACTACCTTCACCTCCTCCTCCTCCTCTTGCGCACTATGAAGGTTTTTGGTGCGGCTTTTCCCCCGATCTGCCCAACCGAGTTGCAGCTCCGATTTGGCCTTTAAGCGGTTTCCATCCACCTGCGAATTGGAGGTGGCAACCCAGGGTGCTAAACAAAAAAACGAAACGTTTTACAAAGGGTATGGTCCTGAAATACCATCAAGAAATTCTGTATCCTACGAAACAGGCCAATTGGAGAGCAGCTGAAAGCAGCCCCCTTGCAGGGGTGCTGAAACGCCCGCTTCATCTCCATCAATCCTCCAAGTGATTGGCACATTCGAAGGGAGGGCACAACAAGGAAACCTGTCGCTTGAAGGGTCCTACATGATCCATCCTCAGCCTCTTGGCCAATTGGCCCCCTTTGCCACCACCGTTTTCGCGCATGGATCCCACCTTCGCCTCCAACTGCTGCGTGAGTCTCTCAGGCTTGGCCCTCGGACCTGACCTTGCTGCAGCTCATAGCCACTTGGACCAGAGGATGGATACACCAAAATAGCAAGTCAAATGGATGAAATATAACTGTTAAAAAAATGCTGATCGGATGGAAAAATCGGACAAATATTGGACACCACCTGAAAATGATTAGATCAATTGGATCTAGCAAATGCCAGGAAAATCTAGGACTCCTAAAGACAAGGACCTGGCACAGCGCTTCCAGGCTTCCCCACACCACCGCCTTGGAGGGTTCTGCGTCGAAATGCTGGAAGGCACCCAAGAGCAGTAGAACAACACACCTCGGCACAGGCCTCAGCCGTGGATAGGGTCCCCAATGAGACGCGGTGCAAAAAGAAGGAATGCGCACCTGCAGCCCTGCCAGCCCGAACCCATAGCGACGCATGGGCCGGGGAAGTTGGGGCCATAGAGGCCCGCGAAGCCGAGGTCATCTCCCAAGTAGGAATGGGAAAAGTAAAGTCAAAAACCGTTGAAACCATGAATGTTGACCAGCCAGTACTCCACCCATCAGAGGTTAAATATGATTTGCACAAAAAAAAAACGTAGGGTCCAATGTCCACTTGTCGAAGAGACGTTCTGACATGTTGAACAGACACAGGCATCCATCATTTTAGAGCTTAGATTTGAGCCACTGCGGTAGCTTGAAAGCTTGAAACTGGCTGCGCACATCTGAACATGTTTCTGTAATTTTATAATGTCATATAGTTAGAATACGAGTGCTGCAACACACCTCCACGGGTTTGTCTGAGCATAGAGTACCCCAAACTCCTGCGGTTTATCATCAATCTACCCCTCAAACAATATCAAAAAAAGACTTTTTTGGCGCACTCCCTTTTTTGACTTTGTATGCCATATGCCAGATACCGCATACCGCTTTTAACCTCACCATCTTGAGATCACATCCCTTGCCCTTGAAGGTGACATTAAATTTAAACGCCCATCAGTGGCCCATCAGTATCCCTAACTGGGAGCGTGACCGACCCTACCCTCAATGGTGGAATTGCTTCAAACATCTTCAAACAAATGGTTTCCAAACAACCAACATGAAACGCATGAAACTACTGGAGCTGAACAAATCGCCCAATCTTTGCCGTCGCAGCCATCAACAGCTACGACTTTTTCCAACGACTTGCCGTCATCTGAAGGCCTGGTGGCGTCAAAAGGCAACCTTCCCTGGAAAAGCAGCCAGCTCTGGATCAAACATCCTCGTCATCTGCATGGATCGACAGCACAAGATTTTACGGACCTGTTGTCCACCCCATTTGGTGCATCAAAAAATGATTGTCCAGTTCCCATCCCCATGTCCCATATCCATTCCGGCCTCAGAGAAGGAGCGTTTGACGCCACCTGCGTTCTGCTGCGCAGCTGTGAGGGCTACACGCAGTTCGTTTGTCCCATGGGCGTAGCTGCAGCTGGCGCCACGGGCGCACTGCCCTATCTCGAAGTAGCGACACATCCTCCATAACAAGGGCGTTGGAGTCATGAAACCACAGTGTTGTCAAGGTTTTAATTATTATATGAATCATATGATATGATATATTATTCCTATCCCCCCATCACCCGAATGCTGCATACTCCCAATCAAGGGACACCAAAATGAATAGATCCAAAATTAAACGAAGAATCCTGATGGTACCCAATGGTAGGGGAAGGGATTACTCCACCACAATCAATGTTTAGTTTAGTTTGACACTTCAAGCAACGCCAGTTAGTTGGCAAGTTATGACCCGTGGAAGTAAAGGGCAATTGTGTTGATCTACATTTGATGCAATTAGGCAACAAACCCAAGAATCAGCTACTCTGCTTTAAAGGCCAGCCACTCCACGTGAAAAAAAAGTGAGTTGGTTCTGAAATGGTCTGAATCCAGCATTTCTAAACTGAAACAAAATCTGTTGTTAAGAACTGGAGGTTCAATCGTAGAATCAAAAGATAACCTCAGTTTTTGACAATATTGCCTAAAATTGCCAAGGGATACGCTTCCCGCAACCATTGCTGGACTATCTGCATTCTGGTATTTTGATGTATTTTGCAACATTCACCACTGCCCATACTACCCTATCCATCTCCATTCAACCAATCATCGAGCTCAGGGCATCCTATCCTGTCCCCCACTGGGATGCCCGGACGTCGTTTTATACGCGGGCGCATTGGGACTCATCATGGGGGATGGACCCGACCTCCCCAACGCTGCAGCGATCACCGTGGGGTCGTGAGAGAAGGGGCAAGCATCCTTGGTGCTCCCAGGGTTTGGATGATGCTGGGGCAAAAATCGGGAGGACCCGCGCACACACACACACGCACACGCACACGCACATGTATATATTATCTATTAATTTATTTATTTATTTATTTATCTACTTATCTATTTATTTACTTAATTTATTCATATATTATTTATTCATTTAGTGTCTTGTTTATGCGTTTATTTATTTATGTGTATTTTGTTTGTTTATTCATATTGATATTTATGTTTGTATATTATATATATATATACTACGTACCATATATTGCACATCATGTATCCTATAGCCTATAATATCATATCCTATCTCATATCACATGCATATATACACTTATAATTTTATAATCACTTAATATCACTTATACATGTGTGTGTGCGCGTGTGCGTGTGTGTGTGTGTGCGCGTGTGTGTGTGTGTGTGTGTGTTATATTATATATATGTGTGACCTACATGGGGTGCACAACATGTTGAGTTTCTCAACGAGTTTCCCATCTGATATCACTATGTGTGCAACATTTGGGACTGTCCATTTTTTCTAGCTGCTTCAAATAAATCAAGCAAGCCTTGGCTATTGGAACTTTGGACCCATTGGAACCCCAATTCGATATCAGCCACAGGCACTCCATTCTTGCAAAGCCCTGGAGTCTTCAAGTGGAACCTCCAAATGTCAAATGTCAGCCAGGTTCCCCCTGGCCCCTTGGTGTTCCACTCTTGTCCCGAAACTCCACTATGATCACAAGTCATTCTGCAAGTCAGACTTACGCTTAAAGCAAGTTCTGTAAATACCAAATGGCCTAGGCCTAAACAGCAGTTATGCGCATTCATATCACCCACACAGAATGTGAACGCGTGCGTCGATCTATCTGTCTGTCTGTCCGTCGGCCGGTCGGTCCGTCTCTCGGTCTGTCTGTCTCTCAGTCTGTCTGTCTCTCAGTCTGTCTCTCTCCCTGGGTCTATCTGTCTATCTGTCTGTCTGTCTATCTGTCTATCTATCTAATCTAATCATAATCTATCTAATCTAATCTATCTAATCTAATCTAATCTAAGCTAATCTAATCTAATCTAATCTATCTATCGTGTGTACATCATGTATTCAAAATAGGTTTCTGTGTGCGTGTGTGCGCAGTATGTATCATTATGTATCACTATATAGAAGTTACGATCAAAAAGGGAAGCATCCCATGCGCCTGCAGGGGATCACCTGCAACAGAACTGGATCGGAAGGGCCCAAGTCGAAATTGTGCACGATATGTCACGGCTACAGTCATTTTAATGAATCCCTACGATGCACAAATTGAAGACATGGTTTCGAAGTTTCAATTGTACCCCGCTATTTTCTTATTGTTGTGATCAGGAAGCCGTGCTTGGTATCGAAAATCAAATCTATTTGAACCGACCGGTCTCTCCCACGGTTTTCCCATCCGAACCCAGCTGGCCCAGCGCCTTGCCACCCTTGACCGGTCCCAGGACCGGTCCCGGTGCTGCCTGACCTAAGGTTCAACCAAAATTGTCTAAAAATGCCAGTTGGATCCACTCGGTCAGTCATCCTAACATCTCCCAGTTCTGGTGGATTCCAAGCCTAGGTGCTGTTGGCCGAAGGCTGACTGTCCGACTGAGGCTGAGTGGGCAAGTACCCGCCAAGGGTCGGTGGCCCTGGCCAGAAAAGTGTCTCCAAAGAGATGCCGCAATCGTTTAACAGCAGGCCCCCCAAACGCTCCACATATATGGAACATTACTAACATCTCCCCCAAACAATGACCATCACAGCCTAAATTTCAGGGAAATCCACTGCATATGCCCCGCCTTTGGGTGCCATTGGCATCCCCTTGCCGCCCATCATGGGACCCATGTGTGCGCCCATCATGGGTGCACCCATCATGGGCGGCCGCATGGCCATCCTCGGCAGCTCGGGCTCGGGGCGACGCCGGCTCTCAGCCTCGCGCATCTTCCGTAGAAGGGCCTGGAGGGTGCTTGCGCATCTTGACAGATTTAATTTGAGACAACCTGATAATATCATGATAAGATGATAACAATTGATAACATGTGGGCATACATATATTTGCAAATGTGTGTAGTGATATACCTGCAGACATTATTATGTATGTGTATGTAAAATTATATATATATATACATATGTATATGTATACACAGTATTTATATTGCATTCTATATTGTATATTATTGTATATTATTGTATGTTATTGTATATTATAGTATATAATTGTATTGTATATTAGGAAAGTTGACCGACAATAATTGCTCCGTAATTGGCATGTGACAAACCAATGAAACCATGTTGATATTTCGATGTGTCCACTGTAGTCAACTAGCCGCTGAAACGTGAGGATATCAAAATACACCAGACACTGTCAAAGCAAGTGGTTCTCCAACTGAAAATATACCATCAAACGGTACACCATGGTAAGCCCTTGAAATCCAACACAGAACCCAAAATATTCGCACATTGTGATTTCAGCGGTAAAACACAGGTTCCAAGGTGGCGTTCAGGGTAGTGGCAACTCAATCATTCTGAATGACACTTTCCCAGCTTGTCCAATCAGCGCCCATTCCACACCTCTTCACCTGGGCGAAGAGCTTGGGCTGCTTTCAAGGATTTCCCATTGCCAGTTGGAGTACCAGAGCTGGAAAATTCTACTATGTGAGCAAATTGTGGTCCCCAACAGACAGGTTGGCATCATTTCACTGATGATATTCTGCAGTGGTTCTCCAGCAAGTAGTATAGCTATAAAGCAAAACGTCAGCGCAATGGGTGTGCGAAACCTTTAATATGGAATACTCAGGGGTGAACCCATCGCGGAAGTGTCGGAGCATACATGTATTCAATATATTTCAATATCAAATTATATATATATATATATCCCATAACTTATCAATGTTGAGGGACCTCGCTGAACACAAGCCACACCAGCAACTCCAAACGCGCGTTTCTGCCACTTTCCCTGCATCCTGCCGTGAGACTCAGATCGAATTGGTTCGGCACATTTAACCCAACAAGTTTTGGTCCTTGAAACAACTCCCGCCGCGCTCCGGTGGCTCAGGCGTCGAGCCCTGAAGTCCATAGCTGCGTGTTGTCTTGAAGTAACTGCAGAGTCAGATAGGCATCACCTCAGTGTGTTACATGGACTGCACCACAGCCTTGGATCCTGCCCTCCTGACATCGCAATGGTTACAGTTTTCATTGCAGGTCCCTATTCAAAGTAGTTTTTGGCGATCAAAATTTGAGACCGGTTTTGACCCATACCGAACCTATTTAACCAGCAAGACCCTCCAAAAGGCCAAGTTACTCCTGGTCTCTTCTGGCACTTCATCCAAATGCCGACTGGCGCTTTCCTCAATCGAAGAAATGTTGCAATGGGAGCTGTGTTGTTACTTGCCAATTTATATGATGATTTGTTCTTGTCCATCATCGCTCTACCATTCTGGCAAATACTTCAATCCCATCCACCGGTTTTTGCTTCATCACTTGAAGCTGGAAATGTTGTTTCCAAGTGTAGATGTATAATACTATTGACAATTACCAACTAATTACTCCCGACATCTAAACTACAACCATGGGTATTTTAATGTTCGTTTGCCTCCGCATGCAATGTCCAAGCGTCCAGTGTGGATGTGGCAATCGCAATGGCCTGTGATGTGTTCCGCAACACCTCGTGCTGGAAGACTGAGAAGTTCCTCAGTGGGACAACAGCTGGGAACCCAGGAGCTCCTGGATACCCTTTGCTAAACTAACAATGGAAATCCATGGTCGTTTTTCCCTTCCGAAAATGATCCATGATGATCTATATGTAGAAAAAAATATGCGTATAGATATTATATATATATAATGTATATTATATATATATACAGTACATAGAAACACGTGTGAATGTGAGTGTGAGTGTGTGAGTGTGAGTGTGTGTGTGTGGGTGTCATGTATGAATTTCGAGGAATGTAATCTTAATTTCCTGTATAAAGACCAATGAAGCTATGAAAACACTTCTGGGCAATGCTGCCAGGTGTGACCCGATCAATCCGGGGCCCCAGCATGGCTAGAAGGTCTTCCCAATTAGGCCTATCCTGCGCATGATCTTTAATCAATGGGTTCTCGGTTATATGCATTATGATCACAAGTCGTTATCTGGGATGATTCTGGGTGTTGCTGCTTAAAGTTCCCATGTTTGCAGCATCTATCTTAAGCTTTCAGGTTGAATCCCCATGTTTGACCAAATCATATTCAATCCTTTATTGCGTTATTAAAACTTAATTTTCTATCATGAAAATCCATGAAAATCCCTTGGTTTTACTTGAGTTCCCATTTTCTCGCCCCAAAAAATCCCTTGTTTGGGGGTTCAAATCCCAGTCGTGTGAAATTCCAATGTTTCTCAACCTCGCCCCCTGCCGCAAGAGCAAATTCAAAAAGAACAATCACGTGCCATGCTGCTTAAATCCCCCCATTAAAAACACATGTGCTTCCAGCTGCCTTTTTAAAACACGCAAAAAAAAAAACGGACAGTCACATTCCAAAAATGTTGTCCCTATTTGTCCCTTTTTCCTGTGCAACTTCCGATTTTCATCCCAAATGTGTGCAAGAATCAACCGCCGACTCAGAAAAAAACACACATTAGATTCTCATTTCCTCACAATTTTCCTGTGAGCCGCCACAACTAGAAACACCATTCCAACAAAGCATCAAAAAATCCGGAAACGAATTACACACTACGAGTAGTTCATTTCATGTTCATACACACTAGTTCATTTCATGTTACAATGTTCCTCAAAAATCTCCTGTCAACATCTGTCAACCCCCCAGTCAGAAACCCTACCTGGTAACCCCTTGAAGCCAGTGTCAAAGCCAGGCCCAATCGCACCGGGTGCACCTGATGCAGCAGCTCTGCCTCCGCCATGCCGCTGGCGTAGGCGCTTTGCGCCTCGGCACTGTAGCGCTGGAAGGTCTCCGCGAAGGTGAACTCGGCCATGTAACGGCAGTAGTCCTGGACGAAACAGGAAAAATCGGGCCAAATGACGCGGGAAACGTTGGTAGACCCAAGAAATTTCAAAAAAGAATTGAAATGATATCAAATGGACGGCATCTGGCCATTGAAATTATGGAATGATTGTTGGGATTATAAACCATAGAATCATAGAAAAATGGTTGGGCTTTAGGGAAAATATGGGAAAATCTACAGGAAACCCTGGTTTCGCCCTGCAAATAGGCCGGGCATACTGGTTGTTAGATGTTCTTGGGGCAGTAGGCTTCCCAATGATTTCCCTCAGAATGCTGGAGAATCCCATCGAAATACCACATGAAATCCCATTCAATTTCCTCAAGAACCCCACTGGACTCCTACGGAAAACAAATGAAAACCCTGCAGAAGCTATGTGAATCCTGCCATCTTTTTCCTCTCAGACAAGTACAGCCTAGCAAAATTCAACACACTCCTAACATTATCCCACATGAACCTAACAAAATCTTTAAAAAAAACTACATAAGACTATCCAAAAGAAATGGACCACCCCCAGTGGAATCCCAACCGATCCTAAATAGATCCCACAAAAACTTTTTGAAAAAAATTAACAAAAAATGGAAAAGCCCTCAGCAAGCATTCAACAGCATTTTCCATTAAAAGCCAATGCCTACACAGAACTCTGCCTAAACCCAAACTTGAAATGGATCAGGATTTTTCTGGATTATGTTAGTTTCTTCTGATTTTTTCATGGGTTTCTTCAAGGTCTTATCCTGTTCAAAAAGACCTCTAACAGAAGTGGCCCTCATCCCACCCAAAGAGGCTTGCAGGGCAGGTGTTCTGTTCAACCAATTCTGGGACACATGAAAGTGTTCTAGAAATTCATGGGAAAAATGATCGAAAAATGGAATCCAAGTGGATGATATAGAGTATACATATTGTTGGTGTATATGTATACAGTATGTATATATATATATGCAGTACACATACGGAAATAGATGAGCATAGATGGACATCCTCGTTTGCTCCCCTTACTATCCCAGTAAGATTCATGTGCAAGAACCGATGGAAAAAAAACACAGAATTGATGATAATGATGTTGCAACACTGGGGAGAAATATCTGGGAGATGGGGCAAGGTCACACTTTTTGACATGAATTGGGTGAAGATCTCGAAATCTAGAGGTGAAAAAGCTAGTATATAAGTTATATGCAAAGAACTATAGAATGGGGAAATGTGGCAAAGAGAGGCAAAAGAATGGTAAATCCACGGGGAAAGAGAAGCATCGGAAAAACTGACCCCTCAACTCAACCTCTGGATGGCTGGCCGAAGAAAATTCAATCGGATGGAAATGGGTCATGTATGGTACCCGTAGCTGTTCCTGCAAGTATGCTCCGGGGCGGAATTGCTTCAAATTCTATGGCATTTTCCCAAACGCCCACTGAAGGGCCAATGGCGGCTTCAATAGTGCTGGGAACTATATATATTTACTTACTATATTTTTTCAATGCGGGGAAAGATCAAAACATGTGGAAATATGTGGAAATCGTTTGGGGCAGCATGCCCACAGAAAAGCACTTGGAAAATAGGCGAGAGGGTGCAAAGAGAGCTCAAATAATTTATCTCAACAATTTGAGGATCTCTCATACCCGGAAAGATGCGCGGTCAGCTTCAAAAAAAAATGTACAGTAATTTGTCGAAATCTTGCATTAGAATCCTCCGCTTTCACCAGCAACTGTTGCCCAAAACACATCGAAACTCTCCAAGGGTCTCCCTGCATCTTCAAATAAAAGGTCTTTGCTTCCCCTGGCTCTGCATTTGGCAGCAACACGGTTTCCAGGAGTTGCAAGACCTTCTTGCAAATTGACTGCAATTCATTCCTGGGCTGCCAATGAAACAACGGGCACAATTTACGATGGTTCATGAGGCGATCCAGAGTGTTTGGGTAAAGACCTCCAGTTTATACAGTTTATACCAAAACCACCCCATTACAATTTATAGTTGATTTTCCTATCGTCCCATTAAAATTGTGGATTTCCATAAGTTTCCCCCGTTCCAGGTCTCTGTCCCGCGATGTTCTTGGCTAAAACCCAATTTCTGCGGGCAAAATCAATCAAGAATCCCTTCCCCCCATTATTACCCCCAAACGAAGCCTCGGTCTTGTATTTGATTCCTTCATTTTCGGGGACTTGGCCGTGAGGACTTTCCACATGCTCGGGGCATGGGATGAATGGGATGAATGTGGTAAACCCGGATGTTTTTCACCATCCAGTCATGGTAATTTTAGTGTGGTTTATCATCCCAATAATCATCCCTATGATCATGCCACAATTCCCTATTCTATCTATTCTTGCTGGCTAAAAACCATGGCTTATAATGGCATAAATATATGTTTATATCACATGACCATCTTTGTATCCGAGAGTCTCCACCCGGGTCTTATAGCCATCCGCCAAATTGGCCTGTTCCACCCGTCCTTCCTCCAGCTCCTGTGCATGCACCTGCACGGCAATGCGCACCGCCATGCGTCGCTCCGTCAGGGCGTTCTTAAAGGCGGCCGAGAGCCTCACGGAGCCATGGAGCCGCTGCAGTGGAGGGGGGGAAGGGTGGGCCCCTATGGATTTTTGTGGTCAAAACATGTTAAAAACCAACAGGGTAAGATTAATAAACATGGTTTTACATCATCTGGTTATTGATGCTGAATGATGTTAATGAGCTGGTCGTTGTTGGTGAACAGTCGTAAATTCCTGTCCTCCCTCGGCTCCTATTTACCGAAGTGTTTTTTGCACGTAAGATGCATTCCAACTTCACGATTCGATAAGACAGTTCTGAGCAAGTGCGTAAGTGTGTAGAAAGATGCCATGCCCCTGCAACTAAACACGGTAGTGGAACCACCAAAATGAACAAAGACACTACAAAATACAAAGGTCTTTTTGGTGTCTACTGTTTCATCTTCCTTCTGTCGCTGGTTACCTGTGATTCCCCAGGTCGCTCATCACAGTCAAAATGATCTCAATTGAATCAGGAAATGTATAGAACATTGAAACCCCTACAATCCCAACCAACAGAGGTCTTGCACGTTGCTGAACTATTCATTCGTTTGCTGTTGATTTGGGTTCAGTGTTTGGGTTTCTGGGGTGTATACATTCTACATATATGTGTGTGTGTGTGTGTCCAGCTAGGAGATTAATGCTGTGTTGTGTAGCATTGCCATCGTTTCACAGAAGTTGTCATCGATCTCACAGAAGTTGTCACCGTTTCAAAAGCATCCTAGTAACGTTTGTGTTCAACTGCTGTGGAATGGACTGCAACTGGAAAGACAAGAATTGGAACCTCGTAACGATACTATGTACACCGAATTCTGCCTATTTATACATGGAGTGTATGTATACACTGTACATGTTCGTCTCTCTAAAACATCCCTTCATCCTGCTTCTGGGAACCAGGCCAAGTCAAGGCAAGTGATTTCCTGCTTAAAATGCTACAGACCTCACATTCCCTAAAATTCGGGAATCTTCACATTCCGTGGTTGTTTTCGCATGTATCAAATTTTTAGAGACCCAGGAAAAGACAGATTTTGGATGATTCGGTCAGATAAGATCTTTCTATAATTTAGTGTTTACCATCTCCTTTTGGGTCCAAGCTTGACCCATTGCCATATCATCCACTTATCACCGGGTCTCGCAGCTCAGGCTGTCAGGCAACATATCTCGCTCCTCGGTGTCGAGTGGGTGGCCTTCCGTGACACGCGCCTGCATGTAATCCGCCATATCATCATATCCTGGGGCGAGTCGGGTGTCGGGATGATCCCAAAGGTGAACATAAACATATCATATCTACATGAAATATTTCAGCAATTTATACCTTCTATATAAAGCTATATTATCATAGTACACTTCATCGTACACATCCGTTCAAAAGAAATCATAAGAAATCATAAGAAATCATAAGAAATCCACAGTATATCTTTCCAGTGTGTGTGTGTGTGTAGTTGATCGAACAAAAAATCACTGTCTACCCCGATTTTGGACTTATCCGGCCGTATATAAATGGATAGTAAGCGCGCTATTGTATCGATGCCAATTGTGTCCCAATAACAATGCCCAAACAACAATCCCGATACCAGCGACAATACCAATAAAGTCACTCATTATATTCCATACAACAACCATCCCAAAAATTGCAGATCATAGTTAGTTGACATCATCAACCAAAAATCTACTTAAGTTTAGGAGTGGCTGTATCAGATTATATCCCCAATAGACTATCATGTGTTTGGGAAACTCAGTTCGTAGCTCCTTGCCGACTATGGATACACGCATGGCTCCGAACCATTCCATTCACTGGACAGTATATCCCATTATATGGCTATATTGCTGGATATATTCCCAAAATATTTTGGTAAACCCATGGTTGGGTGGTTTAATCCCCAGCCATGGTAGGTTACCCCAATAATTGGTGATCCATGGTTTATTAATCCGGGCTTAACATGAATCGTTAATCATTTACACTGTATTAACCATTGCTAGCCATTATTGGCCATTATTAGCAATTATTGTCACGTATTATCCACCATTCATCCATCATGATTAACCATTAAATCTTATATTACATATATATATATAATTATATGCATATACATATCCATATACATATACATATACATATATATATATATTGTATGTACAGTATAACATGATATAACCATAGATCCAGCACCATCCCCACGGCCAGTCTCTTTCGGCCCTTTCGGCCACCCGCGCCAGCTCCAAGGACACCATCCAGCCGGTCACGGGGACTTCTCTCGGCTGTGGACAGTGGCGAGCTTGAGCCGTTTGGACGACCACTGGGAGTTGCCCAAGAGAAAAAATATGGAAAAACATGTATTTGATGGTGATTCAACGGGAATATCATGGGGCTATGGAGATAAGCGAACATTCAATATCATTCAATAGGTGGATTCTGATGGATGAAAGGGAAATCTTCAGGAAACCAAATATAGAGGCCTCCTGTGCAATTTCCTTCAACCAACTCTTGGACAAGCAGCTCCCCGGCTTAACTAACTTCAAGGAAAATCGGTGAACATCTACAGTAAACCTCGGTTTTTACCTGCTTGCACCATGAAATATATGCATATATATATAATTCCTGCAATTTTCTCAGCTGTGGGAAGTGCAATCCCATCCCCCCAACTATATTTGATAAACCTCCCCGAATATCCCGAATGGGATCCCAAAATGTGCCCAAGTTCAGTCTGGGGGATGGTTCTTCTTAGGACAGGATTCGAGTGGCTCAAGTTCTTTACCAGAATTGGATCGAGAGAAAATTTGCGGGGAAACCATTGGTTCCCAAGCATTCATAGTGGTGTCCCGTCAATTTTCCCCTGATTCAAGCAAATAACAGGTTGCCCAATTCGCCAAAGCAGTGCGCTTCCACGGCATGTCCGATCGAGCCCAAAACGCCTCATTTCTGCTTTCCACGCTTTGCGGATGGCAGCGTTCAGTGGTGACACTAACATGCAACGGCACTGGTTGTCTCTCAGTAGGACAAGGCCGGCGGCATGGGCCATAGGAGCTCAGAATGTAAAGCCAACTGGAATGGTGCCATGAATACCTGGGAAGTCGCAACAAATAGCTCAAGTGCATCCTGGATGTAAAAGTTGTGACAGCAACAAAGAATTATGATGAATGATCAACCTCTCATTTATAGATATGTGTTGAATTTTGTTGATTTTGTTGATATGTATTGAATGTGTTGCATCTTCTCCGGAGTATCCGCACTCTCACAGTTTCTTTTGACACATTTGCTGCCATCCCCTTGCCCTGACCTTCTCAAACTCCGGAAAGGTGAAGAAATACTCCGCGGAGGATCTGCTCACCAGCACCAGCACCTCGTCGACACTTGGAAGTTCATCTGCTGCCTGGGCGCTGAGTGCTTGGGCGCTGGTTGGGTCATATGCCAAAGTCAGGTGGGATCATCCTCTCATTTTTAGGCTGAACATGGCCCATGGCTGAACATGTTAAAAAAAAAAAAAGATGTGAAACCACTAGCCAGCTTGGCAGTGACGCCACAGCAATGGAACATATGGAAACTTTGCAAAACTTCTTCTGTCAGAATGAACGTCTGCGGAATGCTGCTGAAACTGATTAGGAAGCACCAAAGCATCCCATTAGTGGTGGAACCACATCACAAGAGTATCATATGATATATACGTAAATATCATCTGTTTATATCTGTTTATATGAGTTTTTGTGTGACTACTTTTCAACAACCTTGTGGCACTGTGAGTGAGTGTGCGTGATCTAATCTAAAACATTCAACAGAAACAGCTGTCTTCACTTGTCATTTGGACTTTCCCCAGCTGTGGTGAACCCTCGCGCCTTCTTGTAGGTCTTATTAAGGGATGAGTCTGGATCTGCCTCTCCATCCAAGAGTTTCTGGACCTTGCAGCTGTGGTTTGGTCTCTTCGATACCAGAAAGGAGATGGGATAACATGGGGGCAACTAGTCATCCAAGATCATCCAAGTCCAAGTTTAAGGATATTTGAGGTTTTAGGCGCTGCGTCTTGCCCATGTTTTGCAGGGCAAGGCACCTTGAGACACAGACACAGGACCTTCTTGTAGCATGAGAAGACCAGCTCATGACAATTGGCCTCCTCTATTGGCATCTGATTGCCTGTGGGCCGTCCTGGATGCACCAGGGAACACCAAGATTTCACCACCGACACACCATGGAGCTCGGTGAAATGAAGCACCCGAAGCCCTGACAGCAGAGCTGGAAGTTCACCCTTCTCATTGGGCCGTGGGGTGGTACCTGGCTGTACCTCAGGCGCCTTTCTCACTTCGGCGCTGACGGAATGGAACAGTGCCAGGGCGTTGAAGAGCATCTCAGTGGGCCCCTCCAACAAATGCAAGGCCACAGACTGGGTGTAGATCAGGATGCCGTTCACCTTAAGCAGCTGCTAAATATTGAAAGACATGTCCCCGGTCACCAGTACAGTAATATAAGTGGAGCCCCCCCAATGGTGCACTCACCAATCCGGAAAAAAACAAAAAACATCTTCAGTAAATCCAGGTCACGGCTTGAGCTCCAGCTGTGGTCTTCCTCCAGTCCGTGAACTCTTGGTCGATGGCCCGCTGTACTTTGCGATCATCCGACACGTTGAAGGCAAACAATAAACGCGTGGTGAAGGAGGGACCTTTCTTCAACTGACTTTCCAGGCGATCCAACAGCGCTGTCCTGCCAAGGCTACCCTGCACCAAAAAATGATGTTTTCTTGGCCGCGTATCGGCATTACAGGTCCATTTGTGGCAATGAATTGAAGCAGGAACCCACCCTCCATTAATCAATCTATATTCACCAAATTCTGGATGGCTAAGTCCCCGTATCTTTTTCTTAGTTCTTTCAATCCCAATTTTTTGTGGGTTTCACCCCATGTGAACCATTGTGAACCCAGCCCTTCACCTTTTTTTTCCGTCCTTTTGGTCTCCATGGCCAGGTCATCCATGGTCTCTGCCGGCGGCTCCTTGGTCTTCACCTTGGCTTCAGGAGACGCTCCTTGGTCTTCGCCCGCCATGGCCACAGGTGGCCCTGGGTGCTCTTCCCGGGGTCCGGCTTGAGCCACGGCTGCAAAGCCCGGTGAAACATATTGTAAAACGGGTTGGAATGGGTTGTACAATACCCAACTTAGTTGCTTCATGGCCATTTTCGGAACGGAAATGATGAGAAATCATGGGATGTTGGGGTATGGATGTTTTCGGAACAAGCCCAGGTGGATTTGGAGAGGAATATCTTCTGTGTGCACACTTAGGGTCCAATAAAGAAGTCGCACTAACTTTCTCCCCTATGCGTCTCTGCATAGCTTCCATCTACCGGGCACCACCGAGGCACCTTCTCGAAGCCGATCTGGTGGGCCACGCACACAGGCCACCTGCCGCCCTGGAAGAGCCATAGGGTCCACCTCCATGGCCTTGACGATGGCAAGTCATGTATTAAATCTTCTATCTGGACGGTGTATAAATGTGTATGTATATGTGTATATATATATATATATGTGTGTGTATGTATATATATATATATGTATATATATATATATTGTGTGTATATATCTATATTTATTTATTTATTTATCTATTCATTTAATTATTTATTTATCTATTTATCTATTTATTTATATATATATTGTAATTATAAGTGTAAGAGAAAAAATAGTGTGGTATATAGATACCTTCGAAAAATCCGCAGTTGTAGCAAATATAGTAATACGTGTACATACGTATATGCATGTCTACTGGATGGCATATTTGGTGTGCAATATTTGGATGATATGAATACTTGGATGGTAATTGTATCAGGGCAAACGTGAACGTAAATTATATATATATGTTTGAATATATCAATATCCGAATTTATAATAGATATGGCAAATAGCTGCTAAACATATGGTAGGTAGATATATCGTGAATATATATATATATATGGTTATAGTAGATTCGTAGATACAGGTCAATATCTGGCATACATATCTGGAATATATCATTGCAAACGGGAAAATCATCGATAAATGGGTATGTGATGGTATGTGTGTGAGGGTTTTCCAGCCATGTTTGATTCCCAGAGGATAGAATTCTGTATGGCGAAGCATGATCAACTGTGTGTGGGCCTCAATTTTGAATTATGGCAATGGACTATGGACCATATCCATATCCAAGATTCTGTGCCCGAACTAGATTCGGACGATGCCACTCTGCCGCCCGCTGTGCGCGAAACTACCAATCCAAACCAATCTGTCAAGTTGTTTAGGTTTTCGGACGTATCTTTTTTGATTAGCCAATTTTATTCTCCAAAAATAACCAAAATAAAGTTCATCAAATCTGTGGCGCACATCTCGAGTCCATCAAATCTCCCTTCATCTGGCCTGGAGGAATTTGATCTTGCACCCAGTGGTGTCAAAGATATGTCGCAGATTTGCCCCACCGGGGCCAATGATATGACCCACGATGCTTGGGTCCTTGGAAGGGCGAAGCTTGGTCCTGCTATGTCCTGCTCACATCAAACTGGTGTGGATGTTCAATTCCCATATGTTGTAGGCTTTGGCCTGTCTCAGACTCACAATGATCTGCCGATACATTGGATGGTCATGGTGGATGATTTCAGATGGTCTCATGCTAAGGGTTCCTCAAAATGACCGATGTTCACTTCTGTGATCCCCATTGATCCCCTAGATTGATGACCCTTGAGCCATATGTCCTGGTGAGGTACAAGCTGTGCCGGCGACCCTTTGGACATTCCACGTGCGACCCTTCGGGTTCACAGCACGTCTTCCAACAGCATCTTGGGCAAGGAAAAGGATGTGTCTGAAAATCTGAAATAATGAAATAAGATATCCCAAAATTCATCTTTGATCATCATGTTCTGATGTTTTCTCTATAAACATTGCCATTTTATGCAATTTTCTGCAATTTTATGCCATTTTGGTGTATTACTGCGTACCCCATGTTTGTTTGTGAAGAAGCCAACTCTTCCCAACTTTGGAACCCCTTGACTTACAGTACGTTGTGCTGGTAGCCCCCCACTTTGCTCCCAACCCAACTTGCTCGCAATCCCTCCCATGGTAATATGGCACCCAAGAATTTCCCATGCTACAATCTTCCCTCCAGCCAAGTTGCGACGTCAATAATTTTTTGAGCCCATTCATCCCTGACACCGAGTTTAAAGGTGGGAAAGTGAAAATATGTCCCAGCTGCTTTGCTAAATGTTTGATTGTTTATGCTTATCCAACCAGCATTTTCATGACAACCAATGGCACTGCCCAACCATATGCGACTCGCAAAGTTCCTCAAAGCTGGAACACCAGCCACTCAGAATGTTCATGTTCTCCTTCCAGTGTTTTTCTTCCAATGATGTGTGGATAAGGGAAACCCCATTGTCATGGGCTGTCCAAAATTAGCAACGAAAAAATGTCTGCCGAAAGCCCAAGCTACCTGGGATGAAATTGCTCCCTGAGGCGTTCATTGATGAGCTGTTCTGCCATGTCCACGTTGCCGGAGATGGTGACTGTGGCCAAATAGTCACCATCTTGATGTTCCTTGGGCTCATTTGCGTCCTCTCTGAAATGCAACATGCAATCCCCAAAATGGCTCACTTTTTGATTTCGATCTTCAATTGTTTCTGCCGAACCCTGGTCTGAACAAGGAATGTTTGCGGATAATATCATATAATATCATATATCTGTCCATCTCCCACGGACGACGCAAATGCCATAGATGAAGAACACACGCATCTCAACCCGACTGCTTCCAAAGATTCTTCACTCCCCTCCAACTTCTGCAGTATCATGACATATCATGACATATCATGACATATCATGACATTCATGACCTACAGCTGGTTGGCAAAGGTTCCCCAACATGTTCCAACTCTCTGCCCAGGTTCGATCTTGATGGCAGATCCTGTGGCTTGTCGTATTCGAGCGATCGCTTCGCCCTTCTTCCCGATCAAGCCTCCCTTCCTCAGCTGTAAATGCAGTATTTCCCTGTCTTTGACCGAAAATGGTGGGTACCCCAAGAATGTGTTGTTTATGAATTATACTGGGAAAGGATGATAAACCATGGAAAACTATTGGATTTTGGGCACCTTCATGTTCAGACAAACCATGACAAACCCATATGCTTCCAAGATGTCGATGTCTTCCTGGCCCATGGGGCAAACATGTTTGACACTGGGAAAGCTCAAACAGCGGTGCCCCCACAAGCTGCCACTATACACCCGGCCCACATACATCGTGACCATAAAGCTTCGTCCTCTCCATCAATACAACTTTAGCCAAGATACTGCTTTGCAGGAATCTGGATCACCTACATGTAATCCGAGGCGGGAGTCTAGGACAGCCGGGACAAAAACTGAACTAACTGAACATTGCGAATGGAAGCACTGACATTGACAACTTTCAACAAAGTGATAGTAGGAGTCAAATGGAAATGTGAACCGGAAGCTTGGTACATGGTACAAATATGGATGGAATTTCTTCGCTAACCATTAGTCTCACATGGACCCATCCCAAAATGAACCAACTGCATCCAACTGCTTGTTTCTTATTGCTAAGACCAGTTTCAAATCATGGGATATCATGGGATTGAACCAACCTAACCGGCCTAAGCGACAAAGAACGGCCTAGCATCACTCGCCAGGGCTTCCAGCCTTGACTTCCGACATGAGATTGGACGCGGGCTGCGACGGCCTGGGATGTCTTGGAGGAATCCTACTGAAATCTGATGTGCCATGATGTGCCCAATCTATGTAAAGTGCAATGACATTTACATGCACCTATAGTCTATTATAGAGATTATAGAAATTATAGATATTATAGAGATTATAGAGCTCTGTTTCGAGGACCTAAATTAGGCGACTGTCATGAGATTACTTCAACCAGAGCAGCCGGTTGCGGAGTTTGCACCCGAGGGATGGTGGAAAGGATGGATTGAGAATATCCAAAACCAGGATCCCATTGTTACGCTTGATACATTTCCCATAGGCAGCGGGTGATAACAAGGCACAACGTGGCTTGATCGACTTGTGCTCTATCATGTTGAGATATTTTTAAAAAAAAGACCCCATGATATCCTATGAATGCGCCGCGTCAGGTGACGCGGCACATTTTTGTCCCTGCTCTATTCAGCAACCATGATGACAATGGACTGCTCCAGATAGCTCCAATCCACCCCTGGCCATGTCACCGTGCTATGCCAAGGTACTGCGATGCAAATCCACCAGCCATCTGTTCCCAGCCAAAGCCCTGGCAGCCCTGGCAGCCTTGGCCCTCGCCGAAGGCAACATTCCCAAAGTCGCCTGCGCCCTGCATTGCCTGCGAGGCGTCAAAGAACCCCACGCCCATGGCGCGCGCGTCGACGCTAGGGGCGGTCCTGGGATGCGAGTCAGATCGCTCGGGTCGCCGGGGTTGCAGCGAGAATTTTGGGGGAAGCCATCTCTCTATCCCACCATCAGTCAATATCTTTTCCAGTAAAGTTTCCCGAAAACCAAGTCTAGGATCAGGCCACATGGTATAGACTCTGTTGATGAGCTTGAACTGTTGGCCTGCCTAGATTGATTTCCAGCTGAATACTGCCAGGTCTGCGTGCCATCTTGGTATACAATATATACATATATACATATATGCATATATAGATATACGTATATATACCAGTACATTGTAAGCCGTCCTAAGTCACTAATCCCAGCATCTGGCTTGGCATTGCATCCCAGCCGGAAGTAGGCGGCTGCGGCTGGCTTGGAGGCATTGCATCCCAGCCAGAAGCAGGTGCGGGTGCATCCCACCTTCGTGTTGATTTTTGGAGTGAAAATGATGGAAAACGTACAGGATGAGACTAGAGTGACCAGTGATAGAGTTCAAATGGGTTCAAATGTTCAAGGGAAACATGCACACTACCCTCTGTTCTTTTTCTAACATGGCAATAGAAAATCCCTTGTTATTCAATGATTTGACTCGTTCCCACACTCCATTGCTCGCTGCGGCCAAGGGACTTGCTCTGCCTTGCCGGTGGGGCCTCCATTAGACCTCCGGCACCAAGTGCAACTGGTGAAGAACGGTGTAACCGTCAGTGTAACCCACTTGTAGAAATGGGATAACACTCACCAGTGTGGATACTGTTGGTATTTGTGGGCTATCAACAATTTCCGGACTGGGACGCAGCAGATCCAAGGGTAAAACCATTCGCCATGAATTTTGAGAGTCCGAGTGGTTGTCATTACAACACCTCCACCTCCAAACTGCTGGAGGCTCATGAAATCTCGTGAATGTCTATCCGAGTCTATCCCTATTCATGGTGAATGACCAGCATGCTCTGGAGCCTTTGACTCTGCCAAGACCAGCACCCCATGTTCCACGCTGTCGCTGAGCTAAAACATGGCCGCGGAATGGCAACTGGGTGTGAAGCCATGGGATCAGGGATCCATGGGATCGTGTCATGTCATGCATTGTCATGCCATTCCCCCAGGGAAGTGCTGCCAGCCTCGGTATCCTCGGTGCCTTCCCATATTGATAATATATTGCGCGGATTTACGCGGAACTTTGCAATCAGGGGCATCTCTGTTACACTTCCTCCATCAAATCAAAACGCATTCTGGGCCTCACCCGTCACACCCCGGAACTAAAGTCGGAACATGTCAGAACACTAAATGACCTGGTCAACTCACAGCGAAAGTACAGTTGCCTTAGATATCCTTAGATTGAGAAGTGGAACTCTTTCAACTGTCCTTCACTGCTTCTGCGCTCTCTTTGGAGCCAATGTCACAAACACTCAACAGCAAACGACCTGAAGCGTCTTCCGCTTCCACCCTCAAATGCTCCAGGACCTCACCAACCCGCAGCTTCAACCCCCGGCGCCGCGAATGTCTGGAGCCCAAATATCCGGTGCGGCTTTGGGAATCCTCCAGAGTGACTGAGAGAACCGTTCGATCCTGTCCCTTCCGCAGCACCACACCGCTGCAGACCTTCCCAGCCAGCTTGGAATCACTTCGGTTCACATGGCTCGAAGCTCCAGGAGTTTTCAGGTCCTGCAAGTCCCAGGCATTTTCCAAGGCCTGTTTGGGCGCGTCACCTTGACCAAACATCACCACTGAGGAGGTGGATCTCTGGGTCACAGCCAACATGTCTTGCAGCTCCTCCCTGCTGTAGCTTCCAATACTTCGACCTCGAGTGCCGAAGCAGCGCAGGTACACGAAGTCCGGCGCCGAATCCTCCCGAGCAAATGGTGTGGTGAGTACATGCCATGTTTGTTGGCTGTTCAGTGGAGCAGGGCGAAAATGATCAAAGAATGCAACGATAAGGGGGACAACGGAGGAGGAGACAAAAAACATGCCCATGCCCAGCATCTGAAAAAATAATTCCCTTAGATCCAAGATGATCCAAGGTGATTTCAGAACCATCAAACCTCTCATCCCGATCTTGGCACCTCTGGCAGCCCATGCCAGCCGGACTCCAAATCACCAGCCCAGGAGGTGTCGTTCAGCAAGTGAAGACTCACCAGGCTCAACTGCTGCTTCTTGAAGCCTTCCCGCCATCGAGGGCTGCGAAACCAGGAGGAGTGACGAAATTCAAAAGCATGTCCTGGGCGGGACCCAGCTGGGCGCAACGGAAATGGATCCAATAGGAATCTTTGAATCTGCCTATGCCACCAATGTGGCCACTGAACAATGTAAATATATAGATGTTATCTACTCCATCACTCCAAACCTTATCCGAAGTTGCTACCATCACCATTCCATGACATTTGACATCCGTTGACTTCCCAGTTGTCCCCCCCTCCAAGAAGTTGATCCATAAGCCGAGCATCTCAGCTCCAACCAGGGCTCCGTTTGAGATTTTGAACGCAGGAGCTCGCCCAAAGTCTCCAAACGCTGGCAGTTCTCATCAGTGCAGGTGAAAGATGGCGGAAGCTGCCACAAGAGACCCACCAAAACGCCTCCAAGGCAGGCCACTAAACATGCCACTACCACTAGCTATCCCCGGCTGTGTAAAGAATAGTAAGACGGCAAAACAAATACAGCCGTCCAGTGCAAATCCAGCTGTGGAGTACAGCAAGATCACTTCACAAACTGAAGAACAGAGTGTGTTAAACCATGCTCTGTTAGCTGTTTCAGAACAATATGGCATCTCAAAATATTATGGTTGATCGTTTTTCCCACATGAAACTTGCCAGATTAAATTCCCCTCATTTTTGAAGACCCAAATCCAGTATCCCGCACTTCTGGTACTTCCCCGAGCGCTGACCGCCTTCGTTGACAAAGGGGGCGTACTTGGCGCGCAGCCAGGGCCACCACTCAGTGGGATCCTGCAACTGGACACGGTGGGTGGCGTAGCCCGAAACCTTCACCACCACGCGAAGGCCCAGCTGGGCATAGCTGGCCGCCTGCGCCTCATAACCTGAGGCGACTGGCGGGTTGACATGTTGAGTACCGTATAAACTGGTGTGTATATATATATATTTATTTATTTATTTATATTATAATCATGATGATAACCATAATAATAATTAATAATAAATAAACAAAAACAAATAAACAAATAATAATAACAATGAGAAGAAGAAGAAGAAGAAATATAAATTGTAGTATATGTATACTTCTGTATAAATGCACGCATATGCGTGCGCGATCGTGCGCGTGTGTATGTCGTCAGTCACTATCCGTCACTGGGTCGAGATCCAACAATCAAAGCCCCAATGCCAAATCTTCCAAGCAGCTGGCATCCCCTTGGTCATGAAATGTAGCGTTCAACTCCACCGCCTTCAGTCTGGCAGCATACTTTCCCGCCGCCACGCCCATGAAGCCACAGGTGCCCACCAAACCTTCGCCACTTCCCACAGAACCCATGTTCCGTGCCGGTGCTTGAGCTGCCAGCATGTCATCCACATCCCAACCCGCAGCTTCACCAAAGGTCAAAAGGTTGTTCTCATCTGCATGGGTCTGGGCATCCTGGGGTCACTTCTTAGCCCAGGAGTGGCTGCTTCTGAGTGAAGCTGAAAAGTTGGGCAACCCTTAACCCCTCAGTCCTGACGCACGGCCATTGCAGACAAGAAGTACTCGTCAGCAGAGAGTGGGTGTCCAACCTCGCTTGGATGAGGTTTGATGAAGTGGCATTGGCAAATTGGCTTCAAATTCTCGGCCCTGAAAGCCATCCATAATATTGATAGGGAAGCGAATCCAGTGGCTGGCACCTCCCCTCCCACATGTGGGTATGTGCGATTCATGGTGGATGTGACTCTGGTGCAATCAACATGGCACCACAGGGCGCCAGTTTTTCCAAGAGCCACCTATATTACATATAGATACATATAGTGATGTACTGACATAAATGTATGATTATAGAATTATAGAATTATAGAATCACTTAATTATATATAGTTCTAATTATATATATATATAGTTCTGTAGTTACATATAGAGAGAGAGAGAGAGCGAGAGAGACATTTATATATATATATATATATATGCCCCGCTCTTTTCTACAAGCAAAACAAGACAATGCCCTACGAGCAGCCACATCTATACTATGTCAGATCCACGTTGTTTCTGCTGAAAGTTCCACTCTAATCATCTTTCCAAAACCCAGTAGCCAGCCACATGATTCCATCATCCTAATCAAAATATTGACCCGCGAACATCCCACAATAGTTTCCATCTATTGCTGATGTTCCTTTCGACGGCGATTCTACAGTCATAGTCATAATTGATTACCAAATGGTTCTGCATTGGCCTCTGAAATCACCTGTATTGCTTCATTGTCCAATCATTCTCATTAAATCCCAATTGATCCCGATTACATCTCAAGATTCTTATTCCTCCCGTATCTTCTTCATCAAAGCCATTCAAATCCAACCTGCCCAAGTCATCCCAAGTCACCAAGCGCGGAATGGAGCTGGGCTGCATCCCTTGCAGGTGCCTTAAGAGCGATGCGCCACGGGGCATCCAGCCCTTGCTCGGGCGGCCCTTGCCCTGGCGGCCCTTGCCCTGGCGGCCCTTGCCCTGGCGGCCCTTGCCCTGGCGGCCCTTGCCCTGGCCCTTGCCGGGCGCAGGGTGCGACATGGCAATGCGGAGTGTTTCTTGGGTCTGCTGGGGCTGACATCTGATCATCTGATGATCATCTGGTTGAGTGGGTTCAACTAAGACTAAAACAGGACATTATCTCTCAAAAACATATGTAAACAGTAAACACGTCCAAAACCTATTCGTTCAGTCTGTCAAATGCGATCATCATTCCATACTAATCCAGGTAGAACGGAACACCAAAGGAGGATTGAAAACCTTGAAATCAGACTCACACTTAGTAATTTGCCACCTGATGAGCGTGTGAGCGTGGCAAGATGCTCCCATCCGATTTCCCTGTCCCAAAAGGAAATGTTTCAAGACATATCGATCCAGAGTGGAAGTGTCTGCAATTTCACTTGAGAAGCTGCAAGGTACGCATCAAGGTCCGCAAACATAAAATATGAAAGCTAGAGAGCATCAGTCCCTACCACGCCCATTACCCCATCATCCTTGCCCCATCATTGCACCTTAAGTTCAATAAAATCTGAGTTTTTCTCAACTTACGTCAGAAAGCTCACGAAGCATCACTCATTCGTCATCATTGTTCGTTGTCAAGGCAGGGGGCGTGCTCCCTGGGCTCCCTAAGTGTGCTGTGTCAAAGCCCGGGTTAATGTGCGATGACGTGATATGACATGTAATTGTTGATAGTTCGTAGAAGTGCTTACATCGTAAGTTACATGTAATTGTCAGTAATTGCTTCCAATGCCACTGCTTTCATCTGCTTTACACTTTATCTCGACATGCTCCGTACATCTCAGTATCACTGAATCCACATCTGAGAATCTGAGCCCATGTTCTTCCTTTTTCAGTTCTCGCACCCAGCCACTTCCCGTCCCAAACTGCGTCGCCATTTTTGTCCCCACGGCGCTCTGGATTCAGTCCCCCCACGTGAATCATAGGGCCAATCTTCAACCCTCATGATGACCCAATGATTCTAAGAAATTCTAAGTGTCCCAAGCGTTCAACCATCAATTCTGTCCGGCTACGTGCTCCTCCAGGGCGTGCGCATCGGTTGGGCCCCAGGTTCACCATTGCTTCGATGTTGGTCCAGTCTTTTGCCAGCGACAACGCTTGAAGGCCTCCATGCAAAAAAGTGGAGATGCATATATATGTCTGCAGACTATATGTATCTATTTATTCATTTATAATCATTTATTCAGTTTTATAATCATCAAAGTCGTTGGAGATGAATTGTGTTGAATATGTTGAATTGTACTCGCCTGGACGCAGCCAGCAACATCTCTCCCTTCTCACATGCGCTGATGGCAGCATTGAAGGTGATCTCATTCGGTTGGACCTGGTCTTCCCTTGGGTCCAAAGGAATAAAAAAGATAAAATGGTCATTGCATGTCATTGCTATTCTTACTATTTGAAATTTCTGGAAAGTTGCAAAGTCTTGATGAAGAATCAGAGAATCTGTGGAAATGGATGGAAATGGGAGAATGGCACGCTCCCACGTTGACTCGCCCAAGGAAACCGACTCCGAATCACTCAATCGTAGTTCAGGATGCGAATGGTGCTGCACAAACTGAATCAAACTGATGCACCTTTCATGCACCCTGGGAACTCCATGTTGGGAGAAGCACTCAAATCCAAACAAGGCGTTCAAACCACCAACCCAACCATGTCAATATATCCGTTTCCCAGGAGTGGAGTTCCCCGAATAATAAACACACCCAGAAACCAAGCATTGCATGCCATTCTGGGGTTTTATTGGGCGGTGATTTGCTATTTTGGTGTATCTCTCTGCAGATGTTTTTTTCATGCTGGTAAGTGATGATCAATGATAAAGGTTGGATTTAATCCCATTGTGCCGGTTCCAATTTTTGTCGCATAAATCCCTATGTTTTACCAATGAGATTGTCAAATCAAATCTGTTTTTTGGCGTAAAATTCACCAAAATTGGTTGAATATATACATATATAGAGAGAGAGAGAGGGAGAGAGATATAGATAAAATCTCATGGTGCAAAAACCTGCATACCCCATGTAATTTGGGCCTTCTGGAACTTCAACTGCCCCAAGATCTCCTTGGCTCGTCGCCATCGGCCCATCTTTTCGCAGGCGCTCACCACTGCGCTGGCACCGATGACGTCCAGCGGCTCGGTCGCCAGGCTGAGAGCCGAGACCCAGAGGTGGGCCTTCTCCAGGGAGCTCAACACGGCATTGCCTCAAGGAGTGGCGGAAAATCACGGTTTGTTGTGGGGAAAAACAATGAAAAACATCCATTGAGCCAGCGCTTTTTGCCACATAGTACCACATTTCTGGGCATGGGCTTTGCAACGTGTGCTACCAGAATTTACGGAAATGCTTGTGGGAAACTAATTGGTGGGTTTCCAGCTATGGACATGTTTCGCTATCAAAAATAACTCCATCTATGGATTGGAAAATCAGATAAACCAGGTTTGCTCATAGAAAAACATCCATCTTGATGCAGATTTGTGTGTGGGAAACTATGTTGACCGAAAAAGCATCTAGGAAAGAATATGTGTCATGGATTCGTATATGTATTCTGAAATAAGCCCCCCGAACTAAACAACGTATGGCAAGAGAAGGATTCAGAAGGCATCTTCCCCAAATCATCCATTATGGATCATAATGGCATATCCCCGGCTATTGGGTTGAAAATTGGAGATGGAGCATGCCAAGTTGCAGGAATAGGTCGCATCACCACCTGGCATAGGACATCTGACCAGCTGCCGTTGCAGGGCCATGGTTTCCTCCCAGCGGCCACACTTCTCGCAGGCACTGCAGGCAGCACTCAGTGCCCAAATGCCAGCGACAGTGGCCATGAAGAAATCAGCCAGGACTTGCAATCCACGCCTGGGTAGCTGGTGGATGCTGGTGGCATAGGATGGCATACGATGGCATCGACATTCTTCACTCGCCCGGACGTTCCAAACTACAAGAAGACTTTTGGTCTGAGTTCTGAATAGTTCTGAGGTAATTTCAATGCTTGCTGAGATCGTTTACAAGTATGCCAAGTATGCCCGTTCACAAGCGAGATTCTGCCATTGCCAAGCCCTTTCCATGGCGCTTGTAGTGGCGCTCATAGTCACCAGGTCCAGTTGATGTCCAGATGCCAGGAGTAGAGCTTCTGACCTGAAGCAAGGCAGTCGCACCACAACAAAGTCTTGGAATCCGCCCATAGACGTGCTGCAGATCTTCAAACGCACTGTGGGAATTGCTCCATACACATGCGATAAATGGGAGGCGAAGGTGTCCAACAAACTTTTTGCAAACTGGATGATCCGCTCACCAAATGCACAGAGCACAAAAACAGAGAAAGTGAAATGGGAGGAAAAGAAACACATCTTTGCCCTGAGCACGCATACATTGATGTGGCATAATATGTGAAACACAGACTACATCACAAAACTCATTGTTGTGAAGAGACCATTCAGTTTTGTGGACGCATCGATAGTCCCAGGCACCATCTGCCAGCTTTCTGGAAGATCGTCACCTGGTCCTCCGCCAGTTCCAGGGCCCTCTGCCACAACAGCGTCTCCCCACAGCTGCCAGCCACTCCCTGGCGCGCAGCGATATCGGCCCGCAGCCCGGGCAGTCGTGCCAGGGCCTCCGCAGCACGTGCCCAGGGCACCGCGAGGCACAGAGAGCCCCAGGTGGCAATGTCCAGACGGAGCCAACGGCGCTGCATCTCATCCTTGCGGGAAAATGGCTGGGAAGGGCTCAAAAGAAATTAGCAAGAAACCATATGAAACCCAAGAATGGTTCCGTTGTCAACAGGAAATTCTTCTCCCAAACCCAAAGTTGTGGGTGGTTCTAATGTGATACTACTGCAATAGTTGTATCATACCATTTCCTCTTCAAAAAGGTTCGACCACCGCAGCTTCCACCGAGAAACCAGGACATGAACTGCCCGCCACCATGGAAGCTGGCCACAGCCTTGGATCGGAACCATTATATCAGCTGGTCACGATAAGGAGATATATACTGTACATGTATTCCTATTATTTTGATATTGCTATCACCCAATACCTATACCGCCTATGCCATCCAACTCATCCATAGTATATTTACTCGCTACATTGGCTCATTGTGGTGAAATCTGAAATGTAATGAAATGTATAGGTATGTAAATATGATATGAATGGGCTGGAATCTAACATGGCCGAATACATGCAAAATGTCAACGAAGGCTAGGGATTTGAAAAAAAAATGTTTGGCGGATCGTTTTCCGACGGGAAAAAAATGTTGTGGATACAGTATACAGTTCCAAAAAATTGGGGCGCTGAAGGACGGGAAGGATTTTAAAAACGACTCAAGACATGAATCCATCAATCATGCCTCTAACTTGCAAGCGGACAACAGAAAGCAATCATGGGATATGAAGGGAATCAAAGGTGCTGGGGACAGTGTTGCGGAAATATTGTTGCAGCATGTTGCAGCTCTGTTCCCCCCACAGATCCATGCAACCCATGGCATTGTAGCTCACCCTGCTCAGCTGCAGCCCATTGGGCTCATGGTTTTCTAGCCCCTGCAAGGCCCACGTCCAGACTTCACCACGAGCACAGGCCGTAACGACCTCCAGGTTTTGGGTCGGTTTGAGTCTAATGATGTCCAATGATCTTGAAGCAAAGCAAATCTTAGTTGGGTAAATGCTCATGGTGCTTTAAACCCATTCTCCTCAAAAAACAATATATGATTGATATGTATTACATGGCCATTGCCAACCAAGTTCATCGAGGCTGTGAAGCAAAACAGGCTTGAAACCACCAGGACCAGGTGGCCAGAACACTCAAAAAGTCAAAACGAATAACGCACGCTGAATCAAGTGCGGGTGACCGCATTCACGGAGATGATCTCTGGCTTGAATGCAGTTTCGGCATGAAGCTGGCAGAACCTGAGCAATGGCGGTCGCTGCGTTGAAAACGTCCGGACCTCGCTGACCTTTAGCCTCTGGCAATTTAACCTCGCATTGGAAACTCAACTAGTTATATCCACGAATGGATTATTTTCACATCAAAAGATTGGGGTGTTACATTGCCAATTTCATTACCGGACAACTTCTGCGCATCTCTCCCTGCTGAATGCAGAGTTTTGCGACTGTATCATACTGTATCTGCGCATAGTGGCCTGTAAGACCTGTAAGGCATATATCGTTCATCCAATCGACAGTGTATAGTGACTGGCACCGACCTGTACCCAAGCAACGTGTGAAGGGCTTCTGACCAATTGGGTCCAAAGGTTGAAAGAAGTGCGTTGTAGGTGGCCCTTGGCAGGTGGGAGTGCGGCTGCCAAATGGCAGAAAATGTCCTTTTCTGGGGCTTGCGCAGCTGAAACCAACAGATTTTTTTGAATGACTCTGCCCCATCCTTCTTTTAAGTTGAAGACTAGAGCGCCTTCTAAAAGCCAACAGCCCCATCTTCGGCCACGGCTTCATCATGTCACAGCTAAGAGTCATGGAGATTCTCATCCGCGCCACACTGAAGTCCTGCACCATGGCCAGAGCTGTCTGCCACGCGGCCGCTTCAGCGCAGGCACTGACAGCTGCAGTGGCAGTGACCACTGTCGCTTGCAGCTGCAACCTCCCGTCAGCCATGCACTGTGTGAGTGGAGAACATGCGCATCCCAAGCATCCCAGGCACCCCAAACCATTTGCATTCATTTGGCAGTATGCTACCCCATATGAAGATCAGCCATCAAAGTGCGATTCTTCTGGTTTCTTAAGTGTTGACCTTAATTAATTATCTATCATGGCTAGGGTGGCTACTGCCAGAGTCTATGATCAGTGGGTAGTGGGTGTCACACATGCCCGACTGCCCAATTCACTGTCACTTCGCTGAGAGGCTCCGATAAGCTGCTTAGCAGCAGCAAAGCCCGACTCCTGGGAATTGCAATGGCAAGGGCTGAAACCTCGGGGTTGTACCACTGAATCCTACTGTGGCCTCAAAAATAGGATGGGGGTGAATCTCAGGTCAAAAATATGTTGCCTTCCCTTATCAAGAAGACCCAAATGAAATTCGCAAACACAAAATAACATAAAATATAACATGATGTTGTAATAGTAGCCGTTGGTACCCTTTCTCTCCCGAGCAAAGGTGCTGAAGTGCTTCTCACAGCTGTGCCAAGCAGCCATTCTGAAGCCTTGCCGCACGCGGACAGCGCAGCATTGAAGGACACAATGCCCCGTCGGATCTTCACCGCCTTCCTGACGAATGGGGCACCATTCAACCGCCATATTTCTAGATCTTTTTTGGTAATGAGTCGAGCACTCAACCACCAATTTTTGAAGGTCTGAAATTCCAAATAGGGTAGCATTGGGAAACGGAAACCGGGACTAAAGCTTTCCGCATGTCAGCTCTCGCTAGCTCTCGAAGGATTCTCGCAACAAACATTTGCAGAAACCACGTTCCAGTCCATTGACAGCTATATTCCACCCTGTGGGCTCTTGCATTGAATCATTGACAGCTTTCCCTGGGTTGCGGCTAGGCGGCATTTCCGATAGCAAATGCAAAGCAAACTGCCATTGAGCAGAGCTGCCACCTCATGAGAGCTTCAAGCCGTTCAACAACTGGTTGCAGCATGTTGCAGCAATGCTTGACATTAGGGGGAAAGCCATCATCTGTCCAAAGTACTGATCCCCTTTATAAATCAACCACTGGGAAGAAGACATCCAATGTCTATAGTCTTTATACTATACTATACCAATCTTAGATCATCTGCAAAAGTTGAATGTTTGGATGGCTATAGAACCTCCTCCCATTATAAACCCAATGCCACTGGACTTTTCATCATTGTCCCTTATCCCCATTAAAATTGCCTTCAGTGAAGGGTTTAAAGTTTAACCCTTGTCAGACAAACCCATATATCATTTTGTTGGTTGGTTCTATCCCATTACAGTAAATCACCATAAATCATCACAAATCGTCATAAATGATCATAAATCCCAATATGAAATGCTGCACAAGCTTACAACCCGTGACTCATCAGGCACGCTACAGGCACTCATCGACGCGTTGTAGCTCACCTCGGAGGCTCTCGGTCGCGAGCCACCTGCCATGGTCCATGTTCTGGGATTGAAATCTTGAGTTTCTATTCTCAATGGATTGGCTTAAGGGAAATTTTACAGGAAAACCCCATATTTAATGGGAAAATCGATGGTTTCCTGTAGATTTTCCCTTGAACCAATCCATTGATATTCAATTCAGGGATTTACCAAAGATATTCCCAACTATGGGTCAAGCATCACTAGTGTACACTAAGACTGTATCCCCAGTTAACTCCTAGCTACAACCCATTGTGATGGGCAGAAATTGGCATATGTAGAGCTCATGAAACTGTCCTATTTGCAGCCGGCAGTAGCTGGGGGCACATGAATCTCGGGGGTCGCACCCAGTGCCTTGCAACTGTCCCAGCAGAACGGTGGCTAAACTCCAACGAGCCGTTTTCTCCAATGCGCTGATACATGAGTTGAAGCTAATCACCTCAACGATGTGCAATGGGAAGTGTGGTCCTAAAGAATGCCGGAAGGTTTCAAGTTTTTCATGGATATGGATGGATATGGATGGATATGGATGGATATGGATGGATATGGCCTACGTCTAAGTTTTCTGCATTTAAAAAGTGCACAGCAGACAGCTGCATCTTTGCATCTTTGGAACGCCCATGCCCCAAGGCTACATTCTTCATTCAAGCTGCATCTGCCTGAACTTCGGCCAACGGCATCATGCTCAACCTAGTCAAGGCAGAGCCAGATTGCTGGGACAGCGTTAATCTGACAGAATACCTTCCTCCATTGTGAAGAGGCGACGAATCTGAGGTCCTTCAAGGTGTAAATTGACGATTTTGAGAATCTTCCAGATCATCCCTTTCCCCTTTCCTTTCATTCCCATCTTTGGGGCGATTTTTCTGCATCAAGAGTCCAAACAATCTCCAAATTTCAAGTCCCCACAAATTGTGGATGAAATTGACCCATCCGTGTCCCATCGTCTCCCCAGCAGTTTAGCCCAGGGTACACATCCAGGGCCCCGCTCCACTGATGTTGTTTCTCTAAGGCGCTGCAAACCACGTTGCAAAGGATAACCTCCCATCATTCAATGGATTGATTTTGTTGCAAAAAATCTATGAAAATCTATTGAACTATTGGAAACGATCGTTGGAAAACCAGTACCTACGGCCCATCACCCAATTTTGGGAGTGATGATGGCCACCATGATGTCAAAACTCAAAAAATGTATCAAACTTGAGGTGTCAATGGGCTGGTTGAAGGAAAATATGGCGGGAAACCAACGTGTGTATAACCACTCATGCAGCAGGTCCCTGCAAAGGTGTCAAAAACAAGCAATGGATGGGAATGGTACTAATCATATCCCAGGATCATGTTCAATACCCAAGGTTTAAGAGACCCCCAATGGCATGGGTAGTTTATTATCGGTAGGACGGGGGAAAACACGTGGGTCGCAACGGTGTCTCCGGTTGCTCAGTTGGATGTGGGGTTTTGGCTGTGTCTGCGAATTTTCAACCCTAGGAGTCAGGTTGTGTAGGTTTCTTTTTTGGGAATCTCAAAGGGACCGCGTAGAAACACCGGTTCCAACTCAGTTCCTGTGTCAGAAAATCTGTTTATTCGCCTGTCTTGTTTACAGACCTGGTGAGTCATGCCATTAAAAAGTGCTGAGTTCCACCACTGACCGCCAATGACAGAATTGCATCATATCCATATCAAACAATTGCATCGCTGATTATAGACAACGGCAGCAAGTTACATCAACTTACAGTGTATCTCAATGATTTCAACGCTCCCATCCTCTCTCTCTCCCTCCATCATCTGGAGTCAACTCGAAATGAGTTATCCCAACGCACTGGTTTATCATAATTTTCCTTTATGAAAATTGCCAAATTTGGGGTGTATGTTCCATTATCAAACACGGCCAGTTTCATCATTTTCAGGCCCCCGGGCATTGCCAGAAACCACGCCGAGGGCGAAAACCGCACGCTGCCAGCTGGCGGCACGGCAGGAGCTGGTGAGGCTCCTTGGCGAACGGCTGGGAGGAGGAAAACTTGGCAAACTAATTAGCTGTTCAAAGTGTATGCTTTGATGACCATAATTTTGGATATGAGGCTTTGATGAGTTGAATTGATTTGATGCGTGTATGCATATGTATATGTATATGTATATGTATATGTATATGTATATGTATATGTATATGTATGATATATATATATATATATTATACATACATGTGTATGCATTATAATATGCGTGTTTTGGCACGTTGATCGATGTACATAATTTTGGAAACTTACCCCTGTCTTGTTACTAGACTGCCATTGGTATACATATGTTTCTATACACCTGATAGATCTCAAAGTATCTTAAAGTATCTTAAAGTTAAAGAGAAATACCGGCATTAAATACGTGGCTGATATGATTGGTGCCTCAAGGGGATCTAACACGTGAACTCACCTGGTGGCAAAGTCAAGAGGCACTTCGTCAGGCTCCAAGGCCTGGTACCTTGGTGCTGAGAGGAATCCTATCAGGATGTAGGCGAATGAGGTAGGAATGCTATAAAGCTATAAATACATATAAACACTACAACGTCTACATCGTTATCACTGAAAATAGTGCAAGATAGTGACAATAATGATTTCTTAAATGCTAGCAGCAAACACTTGGAAGACAGTAGAGGTTAAAGAATGCAGTGAGCTTACTCACAAGGCATCCTGCTGGCCATGGCCAAAACTACCCGAGTCCCCAAACAGATGCAGGCACCACGATACAAAACTCCAAGGCACCTCATCTCCAGAATGATTTCCAGTACATTTTGCCAAGCTGAAGACTTCTCACCTTGTGGCGATAGGATGCGATAGGGCCAATAGGCCACTAGGTTTCAGTAGCTCCATAGGATAAGCACCTATTGCTCCAAGAGTTGGTTCCTGCTCGGTGTTTCCTTCGTGTTCATCCCTTTCGCACCTTGCTACCTTTCCGAAACGTACTACTAATGTACTGCCACTACAGTCACCACATCACAGCCCTCAAGTAACCCTCCAGTAGCCAGGTACATGCATTGAGGCTGCCGTTGACCACCACCACAGGGCGCCGGTGCTGCAGGGCCAGCTGCCGCGGCAGCAGCTGCAAACTGCTGAGCCACGCGCCGCCGCGATTGCAGGCGATGACGGCCTCTGTGACATCTGAAGCCAACCTCCAAATCACCTCAGCCACCGGACACCTGGGACCGCCCTGAAGGTACCCACGGAAGCACTGGAGTCACTGGAGTTCCAATGAGTGCTGCTCTTCCAGTCTTGTCAAGCCGCTTGAAGCTACTTGATCAATCATGATCAAAATGCAATTCTACTTCATGGATTTGATGGTAAAAGACGGCTGATGTGGCACCCAAAGGATGACAAGAGACCAGGGCTTGGCGCCAGTCCTCCAAACACTGCCACGGCCACAGCTACAGTACAGCAATTGCAACTGCCATGACATCAAAAGCGACTCCCGATGTTGGCGTTGGCAAGAGCAGATTCCCTGTGATTCTCATCCATTGATCTCTTTTACAGGTAGTAGTGTCAACCCCAGATCAAAGACCTTTTTTTTACGTGTATGATTAGGGGGACCCCCCCGAACATCCCCAAACAATTTGTGATAAAAATCCTTTTAACACTGGCACCCCCGTAAAAATGAACCAGGGGTTAATCATGGTTAATCCTCGATATCGTGAGTTGAGATTAGCTGGTCGAATCCAACACACCAACTTCGCCCCATCCTGAGCTCCGCGGCAACCAGAGGCTTGGCGGAGTGGTCCTGCAGAATGGCGCCAGTGATTTGAGCGGAGCATATGCATCCAGATCATCCGCACACACATACAAGAAATGGTACGCTTTATATACGTATTTATAAAAGATCCGAAAGTATTTTTTATACTGCATATAGATGTATGGTCTAAACCCTTGTTCAGGAACCAAAGAAAATCAAACGCATATAACAAAATTCCAGTAAATCCAGTGAATGCGGGGATTGTACCAGAAGTAATATTCACGTGTATTCAAGATGCAGTAGTCAACAGATGTAACAATGGCCAGTGACACTAAGCAACAACACCTGTTTTAGCGGGCACCTTGAGCCAAACGTTGTTGGCCAAGTAAATGGTTTGATGACCAAAACCCCGGATTACAGGATTAAGGAAATGAGTTATCATTGTCGATAACTATTTGAATAGTCTATTCCCGTTGTAAAAACCCTGACATTATGTACACTTTACAGTCAAAGGCAACAACAATATAGTGGGCTCCGTTTTGGGACCACTATGTGGTATGAACATGCATACACGGCATAGGGGTTATTCGAGTATTTTCTACTCCCCCCTCTCGATTGACTCCGGCCAGTGGTACGTTCGGCACCGACCTAGTCCTCTGGAGCTTTCTGGTATGGAAGAATGCGTGGAGCCTTCTTCTTGTACTTCTTTCTCACATTGGCCTTGGGTTTCGGAGCATCCTGAGTAGGCACAGGTTTTGACTTGTCCTCAGCATAGGAAGGCTGCAGAGACTCATCAAAATTCTCCTGGATCTTCAAACCAGTGTTCGTGGTCCGAGTGACCACATATCCATTGATTATTCCCAGAAGGTCCAACGCGGGTCCCCACAGTTCACCTGCCAATCCCTTAGTGAAGATATCGGCTTTCTGGTAGCGCCTGGCAACTAGTTGCAAGTCCACATCGTCCTTGTCCAGTTCCTCTTTGAGGCTACCTAAGTTTATACGATGTGTTCTCTTCATATGTCGCAAACGCTTGGAATAGCCAGCAGAAACCACCTTTGCTGTGGCTTCGTTATCTTCTCTGATTAACAAGCGCACTGACTTTCTGAATAATACTGAAAACAGCTCTAGCAACGGCAGACCTTCATCAAATAAAGTAGTAGCCATCGCTGCAGCCTCAGCTTCAGTTGTCGATCTGGAGACCGCACCTTGCTTTTTGGACATCCAGGTCAGTGGAAAACTCTTTCCACTTAGCTGTACCCACCCACCAGTTGTGGAATATGTGTGCTCGTCATCACCACAAAAGTCTGCATCGCAGAACAGCTCAACATAGATGTCATTCAAATCATCATCTACATGGCCAGTGAGTAAGTGGTCTTTTGTTTCATTCAAATAACTAATCGCCCTGAAAAGATGGTTGTCACACTCCGTGGTCCACTGTTGCACCTTAGTAGCTAACCAAGTGGTTACTCTCAGCATATCAGGCCGCGACAATCGCGCCAACCACATCAGTTTCATAAGGACCGAGCTGGCTGAACCTGCAAGTTCGCCCTTAGTCGGAGCCTCCTCAAGCACAGCGGTCTTTGAGAGAAATGGTGTGCTAACTCTCTTCAGTTTTGCGTGACCTATCAGTCGAACATAGTCATTGACAATGCTCTCAGCATAGGCTCGCATGTCGAATGCGAATAGTTCTTGATTTCTGAACTCCACTGTTGAATGATGTCTCCCCAAGAACCTACCTAGGTCACCGATGTCATCCAACATGATTCTTTTAGAAAGGTCTGCCCAAAAGGAATCGTGGTATGAACTGTCCCCGCTCAAAACGAAGTCATCCACATAAACAACCAAAGCCAAATGCCCGTAGGAAGGAAACACATATGTGCTTGGGAATTCTGGAATCTTCGTGGCTCCCATGTTTACCAACTCTTGCTCCAGCTTCCTTTCCCAATGTGCTCCAGCTTCTGGATGCCCATACAAGCTGCGAAGCAGCCTGATGACTGGCCTCCGGTACAAAGGCTTTCCATTTGAGTCAAACCAAGTTTCCGGCCAAACTTCTCTGGGCAACCTGACCCAAGTTTCGGCCAATGAGTTCAAAACGCTCTGAAGGTACGCCTTGATGGCGTCTGCTGATGAAATCTTGTGGCCTTTCAACAGACCGTATGCTATGATGGCGTTAGCCGCAGTGATCGAAGCAGGGGACGCGCTCATGGTTTGATATAGCGCGACATTTCCTTTTGCAGTTTTCGCTGCGTCACCCCTGTAGCATACTCTACCCTTGAGGGTTCTGAACTTTGGTTCTAGCTCAACGTTCTTCTCACTACATATGGCTAGTAGGTCTGCTAGGTGGATAGTCTGGCCATTCTCTATGGCTCGCCTTTTCACCGTCTCTTCCTCCTCAACCGATCCCAAATCCCATGTGCCCATGTCCCCAATACCGTCAAACTCCTTCTTGATCGCGGCTATCGCGTCAGGACGCGAGAGAACCTCTGACCTCGGGAGCTGTCTGGTGACCGCTGCTGGTTGCAGCTCTTCTTCATCATCAGACCTCGGTGGGCATATGGGTACTTCATCTTCAGGGAATTGATCTGGAGCTATGGATGGTTCATATTCAGTTTCAACACCATCCTGTATTGGTCTCGGAGTTGGTCCCACTGATTCGCCACGTCTGGAGAAGATGGCGTCAAACCTTGTTTTGCATTCTTGTGAGTGTCTGTTGTGTCCCATGGAGCACCCTGGACATCCCCTGGTGAAGCCATGTTTCATCAACCTTGACCATGTTATGTAAGCGTGTCTTGGAGGAGGTGGAGGCGCGTCAACAGGAAAAGAATCAATGCACACGTCATATGGCAAAACCCCTTCCACGAAAGATCTATCATAGATGGCTTTCTTGACTTCTTTCTCCTCATCCGTCATTTGCAACATGGCATTTTGTGCAGCTAATGCAAGAGGAAATTCAATGTATTCTGTTGGAGGGAAATAGACCTCCTTCTCATGCATCACACGTGGCTGCCAGTGCAAATGTCCTCTCTCTCTGACAGACTCATAGTCCAAAATCTTCGCATTGCCACGATACCGAAGCCCAGGGGATAGGTGCCAGCCGGCAAACAACCCCGGACGAGTTGTGGGCTCTGCCATGCCGTCCCCTTTGGAACGATAGAAAACCAATGCGCCTAGTGGATAAGAAACGCCATCAAAAGGTTTACCTGTGGCCACTTCCCATCGCGTCTTACCAAGTTTCTTCTTTCCCTCTTCCGTGTCTCTCTCATCCTCCGTGATCGGAGCCGGAGTGAAGAAGGATCTTGCAGTGGCTGTGTACTCGATGGAAATGGTCCAAAGCCTTCTGTGGAAGCCTGCCTGCAGGTGCGATGGCCTGCACATCTCCTTGATGGTCCTGATTTCTCTTTCAACAAAGGCATTGTGTGGCCAGTGATTGGCGGCTGATGGATCAGCCACCCATCCCAGTCTTGATGCAGCATTGGTCAATTCCTGGGCTGTGTCGGAGTGGAATACAACATCTGGGTTACCGTTCAACTTGTTGCCACCAAAATGTTTCAACGCATCATAGTTGCTATCTTCATTGCGTGTTCGTTGAGGGTATGTCAAACACATTCCAGAGTATCTGTCTCGCACTAAGAGGGCGGACTGTTCACCACCAAGCCCCCTAGACTCAACCGCTGGAAAAATGTGGTCAGCCTCAATGATGCTTCCAAACTCCTTTGCAATACTGTACACAACCTCTTCGTCCTCAGGTTCGGGTCTATGTCTATGAGCATATCGTTTGATCATTCGACCTCTTTGGCAATGTGGGCAAAATGGATTCTTCTTGGCGTGCAATGTGATGTGTTCTAATGATGTTGCCTCCCTCTTCAGTCTATCATCCCTGGATTCCCTGTCCTCAGCCTCATCATCGGCAGGTTCATCCAGGCCCTCAGCTGCGGCTGCTGCAAGGGGGTCGACTGAATCGTAAATGAAGACACCACCATCTCGTCCCTCTTCAGGCTCACGCTCCCGGTGTTCAACTGTTTGCTCTATCACTTGTGTGACTGGCATGGCTGGGACATGTCGTGAGATGATATCAGGATACATCGCATGCATTACATACTCACACATCTCCTTGGGGTAGAAACCAGTGAGGCGTGTTCTTGATCCTGAAATGGGGGCATGTTGGAAATCAGCTGGATGATTGCATCTCAACGTTGAAAAGATCCTAGCAGTACGGTTGCATGTAGTAATCAACCTCCACCTCTTCAAATGAAGATCACCCTTTGAGTCAGTCAATCCAACTTGGCACCCATCAAAATCCACAATCATCATGTTGAGATCCCGAATAAGTTTCTGGAGTTCTTGCAATGCCCAACCAACACAGTGTCGAGGCCATTCGAATGTGACTCGACCTCCCTTTCGCGCTACAGCGCGAGCCAAACGACAAAACCGTTTAACCAACCTTCTTGACACCTTACGCCTCTCGGACAATCTGCTGGCGAAGTCATCACCATACAAATGCACGTTGAGCGTCTGCCACTGAGTCCAAGGCCCACATGGTAATGAACCCCAAAGGTCGGCACCAGGTTTGGTTTCGATGATGCCGTCAAGGACTTTGATAGTTTCATCACTTTCGACATTCAAATGATTCTCAGAACATCATATGACATGAATCCCAAGATCTTTTCCAACTCTTCCCATCATGGAATCTGAAGAAGTACAGAACTCGATCAGAGTCCCGTGTCCTGGAAGTCCTGGGTGATGTGGTTCTGGAACCGCCATCTCAGCAGTGCTCTCGCTGAAGTCATTGAACTCCTTGGCAATGCTATGCGAGATGGATTGGTAAAGTTCGGATGTTTGCTCATCATGTTGTCTAGATCTATCGTTGTAAAATTGTTGGAGTCCATTCATCATAGTTTCTACGGCTTCAACCCCCCTGATGATGGGTTTGCGGACTGGAGCCTCTGGCTTCTGCCTCTTCAACTTCTCCCACTTCCTCCGTCGATTCTCCTTCCTGTGTTTTCTCCGACGTTGCTCAGTATCCGAAACCATTGGATGAGCTGGCAACT